AAAAACTGAGACCCTTACAAAAAAAGGTCCAGGCTAAAATACTGTCTTGAGTGAATGTGTGCGAATATATACATATATGTATATATTTTTATTGTATACTTTCAGTAAAATTCACCCATTTTAATGTATAGTTCTGAGTTTTGACAAATTCATAGTTATGTCATTGATAACTCAGTCAACTCAAGCCTCTGAGTGTACCCTGTTCCAGAGGTTATATAAATGGAACCATGCAGTATATAGCTTTTTGAGTCTGACTTCTTTCGTTTAGCATAATGCATTTCACGTTATCCATGTAGTTGGATGTATCTGTTCTTTGTATGACTTGATTGCTCAGTCATATTTCATTGGATGACAGTATTACAGTCTGTTTATCTATTCACCAGTTAAAGACATTTACATTCCTCCCAGTTTGGAGTTATTATAAATAAAACCACTATAAATGTTCACATATAGATTTTTGTGTGGACATAAATTTTCTTTTCCTCATTTCCCTTATATAAATACTTAGGAGTGGAATTGCTTGGTCTTACGCTAAGTATATATTTGATGGTGTCTCATAGTGACTGTACCTTTTGCATTCCCACTAGGAATGAATGTATGCTCCAGTTGTTCAGCATCTTTGTTAGTACTCAGTATTGTGAGGATGGGTTTTGTTTGCTTGTTTTTAATTATAGTCACTCAAATAGTTACAGTGTTCATTTTTATTTTAATTTATATTTATCACCGACTAACAATGGTGAACATCTTTTCAGTTACTTATTTGCCATCCACATATTTTCTTCCGTGAAATGTCTGCTCAGTTCTTTCACCTGTTTTTTAATTGGGTTGTTTTCTTAACTGAGTTCTTTAGAGTTCTTTATATATTCTCGATATAAGTCCTTACCACATATGTGATTTGCACATTTTTTTCTCCCTTTCTCCCTGTCTGCAGCTTGTCTTTTCATTCTCTTTACAGAATGTTTCCAAGGACAAGTTTTTAATTTCCATGAAGTCCATTTTATCAAGGTTTTTTTTATGGGTCATACTTTTTGGACTTGTAGCTAAGAACTCTTTGCCCAAACCAAGGTCCCAAAATTTTTCTCCAATTTTTCTTCCAGAAGTTTAATAGTTTTAGATTTTACATTTAGGTCTGTGATCCATTTTGAGTTAATGTTTGTTTATGGTATGAGCTGTGACTCAAGCTGGTTTTGTATTGCATATCAATATACAGTTCCTACACCATTGGTTGAAAAGACTATCCTTTCTCATTGAAATCCCTCTGCATTTTTGTCAAAAATCAGTTGATCTTAAGTGTGGGTCTGTTTCTTGGACTCTCCATTATGTTCTAATATGTGTCTAATAGATAGACTTTAAATTGTCTCCCCTTTCACCAATACCACACTTTCTTGTTTACTGTAGCTTTTTAATAATTCTTAGATATTGTGAGTCCTCCAGTTTTCTCTTTTTTCAAAATTGTTTTGCTTTTTTTTTTTTAAGATTTTTTTAAAAGATTTTATTTATTTGAGAAAGAGAGAGCATGAACAGCAGGGTGAGTGGGCAGAGGGAGAGGGAGAAGCAGGCTCCCCACCGAGCAGGGAACCCAGTACAGGGCTCAATCCCAGGACCTGGAGATCATGACCTGAGCCAAAGGCAGACACTTAACCAACTGAGTCACCCAGGGGCCCCTGTTTTGCTCTTTTTATTCCCTTTTCTTGCCATCTAAATTTTGGGATCAGCTTGTCAATTTCTTTTGTTTTAAATCTTGCTGAGATTTTTTTATTATGTTATTTTGAAGTACTCTTAAATGTATAAAAAAGTAAGTATAGATAGTCCTCTTGTATCCCTCACCCAGTTTTTCCTAGTGCTAACATCTTATATAATTATAGTACAGTTATCATAACAAGGAAATTAATATTGGTACAGTATTACTAAAAAACTTATATGAGGGGCACCTGGGTGGTTCAGTGGTTAAATGTCTGCCTTCGACTCGGGTGATGAGCCCAGGGTCCTCAGATGGAGCCCCGCATCTGGCTCCTTGCTCAGCAGGGAGCGTGCTTCTCCCACTCCCTCTGCCCCTCCCTCCATTCGTCAGGCTCTCTCTCTCGCTCCATCACTCTTTCACCTCTCTCAGATAAATTAATAAAATCTTAAAAAAAACTTATATGAATTTCATCAGTTTTCTTATCAGTAGTGTACTTTTTTTGCTGTAGGGTATTATCTCACGTTGCGTACAGCTTTTTCTCCTTATACTGAAATTTTTATTGCAGTTGCGTTGGATATATAAATAGGTTTGGGAAGAATTAACATCTTAACAATATTGAGTCTTCTGATCCATGAACACAGTATGTCTCCATTTTTTTTAAAGGCTTCTTTTGATTTCTTTTAACAATATTTTGTAGTTTTCATCTTACAGAATTTTCACATTAATAGATTTATACCTCAACATTTTTGTGTGTGTGATTGTGAATGATGCTTTTATAAAAATTAGAATTCTAGTGTTCGTGGCTAGTATATGGAAATACAAAAATGATCGTTATACATTGACCTTGATACCTGTGACTTGTTTAAACTCTTTTATTCTGGGAGGATTTTTGAGGATATTTTTGGAGTTCTTCCTATAGACAGCTTTGTTGTTTGTGAATAAAGACAGATTGTTCTTACTTTCTAATGTGTATGCCTTTTGTTTCTTTTTCTTGCCTCATTGCGCTGACCAATACTTCCAGTATAATGGTGATCAGCTGCCATGAGAGGACATCCTTGCCTTGTTCCATATTTCATCAGGAAAGCATTCAGTCATTCACCATGAAATATGGTAGTTCTAGGGGTTTTTAGATGCTGTTTATCAGGTTGAGGAATTTCTCTTCTGACCAATTTACTGAGATTTCTAATCATGAGTGGATATTGAATTTTGTCAACTCATTTTATGTACCTTTTGACATGACCATCTGACTTTTCTTCTTTAGTAAGTTGATAATATCAATTACATTGATTTGACTTTTGCATGTTGAACTAGAGTTGCATTGTCAAGGTAAAAACCACTTAGTCGTATGATATATTACTACTTTTTATATATTGACTGGATTTAATTTGCCAATATTGTATGTTGATTGTATGTCTACATTTATGAGGCATATTGACTTGTAGTTTTCTTTTCTCATCAAGTCTTTGGCCTTGATATCAGGGTAATGCTGAACCAATAAAACAAGGTGGGGAATGTTCTTTCCTTTCCTGTATGTTGTAAAGTACGTAAGATAGATATTAATTCATTCTTAAATAGATGGTAGAGAATTCTACCATTCTGCCAATGAAACCATCTGGGCTTGGGCTTTTCTTTGTGGGACGGTCTTAAACTACAAATTAAACTTCTTTAATGGGTGTAGGTCTGTCCTGATCATCTGTTTCATTTTGAATGAGCTTTGGCAGATTGTGTTTTTTAAAGAATGTGTCCATTTCTTGTAGTTATTAAATTTATGGTCATAGTTGTTTGTAATATTCTTTAATCATCCTTTTTATGTGTAAAAGGTATAAATTAATGTCCACATTTCAGTTTCTTATATTTTTGTCTTCCTTTTTAATCTTAGTTATTTTGTCTAGGGTTTTATGGATCTTTTTGAAGCATTATCTTTGGTTTTATTGACTTTTTGCTATTTTCTGTTTTCTGTTTTATTCCTTTCTGCTTTTGTCTGTTATTTTCTTCCTTTTGTATATTTTGGGTTTAATCTACTCTTTTTTTAGTTTCTCAGGGTAGAAACATAGATTATTGATTTGAAGCCCTTCTTCTCAAAATAAGCATGTAATACTGTACATTGCCCTCCAAGTGTTGCTTTAGCTGCAGCCAACAAATTTTGATATGTTGTGTTTTAATTTTCAGTTGATTCAGAATATTTTAATTTCCCTGTGGCTGCTTTTTTGATCGGTGGGTTATTTAGAAGTGTGTTAATTTCAAGCTACTTAGAGATTTAGCAAGTATCTTTCTGTTACTGACTTTGGTTCAAGTGTTACCTCCATGTAGTGTCTGCAGCTTCCAGTGGTTGTATACTCTCCTTTTAGCCTGCTGTCAGCTTTTAGCAGAGTATAAAAATTTTAGCTGAATGAATTTTACCCTCTTATATGGTAGCCTCATCTTCCCATTCTCTGCCATGGGTGAGCCAATACATTCCATCTCTTTGGAGGTGCTTGTCTTTCCTTAAATTTTGGGCTACTTGTTACACAAACTCTGATAGGTTCAAGAAAAGTTATGATTTCATAGATTATTCTTTTGGTTGTTGATAAGCTACAATCTGGGGAGCGTTTTAGAGTTCGAGCCATAGAGGCAGAAAGAGAGAGATTGATGACTCTGCATTGTAGGGCTTCATTGCAGACAGAACTGCAGTCAAAGTCCCTTGAAGTCTGTGGAGTAGCCCAATTGTTTTGTTGTAATAAAGTTTTATTTCGCTAACTACAGTGACATTCTCAATCTGCACATAGTAACAGGAGTGAGTTTCTGCACATAACTGCCACCCCTGCCTTCTTTCCTAATTTAAGTTGTGGGCCCATACAGTGCCTTGTGTGAATGGGTGGCGGAGGTCAAGGGGTTGAGGCCTGGGGTTATTTCTTCTTTGGAATAGTGCGAGTTGCTGCTTAGTAGTAGAGTAGTACATCTATATAAGAAGCTCAGCTTTGGCTCAACTCCTGCCTGATTATGTGATGAGGCAGCAGCCTGCATATAATTAGACACTTCATGCCAGCCTAGTGATTGTTGAATGAACGGAATCTAAGGAAACCATCTGCTGTACAGGGTTTTAGGCTGGTAATTGACAAAGCTATATGACTGTAGACATCAATATGAAGATCTTTTTTATTATTTTCCATAGCAGAATAATTTAGCTAATTTAAAGCTTAAACCGTCATGGGGGAGAAGCTAGTTCATGGAAATAATTCTAAGATGATTGTTTTAGAGAACTTCAGCTATTTAATTGTGGTCAGCATAATCAGATTTTTTAATTATTAATTTAACTTTATTTATTGCTGTTCTTTTTCAGAAAATACTTCCAGGAGGAAATACATCATTTGATGTAGTTTTTCTTGCAAGAGTAGTGGGAAATGTAGAAAATACTTTATTTATTAACACATCCAATCATGGGGTATTTACTTACCAGGTAAGAACCAGGATTAAAACTTTCATTTATTTTATAAAATATAGTCCTCATCTCCGATGTATCATATGACAGCCTATCAAGAACTCTCTTTAAAAACTCAGGGATAATAAGTGTAAGAGTTTGGACTTAGAGCATTTTTACTCACTGCTGTGTCTGTGACTATCCCTGTGCAAATCAAACCGAACAGTCTTTTAAAGCTATAGCTAAAGCATTAATGTAAGATTGGTTAGCAAAATAATAGTAAAAAATATTTTATACTAAATTTTTTTAAAATTTTACTTTGCACATTTATGAAGCATACGTGATAATAGTTTCAAGATTAAAACATACATGCCAGCTTTTCTTTAGTAAATGATTGTTTAAAATTTGTTCTTTTTATGTGTAATTATTGTTTAGGTTATTAAAGTTTGTTAATGTTTTATGAATCAAAATTTTTGTATATCAAGATTATTAAGAATTGCTTATATGGCACTATGCTACATACCTTACATGCATTTCTGCCTGTGTTATAGATACCGTTATCCTTTTTTTTTTTTTTTTTTTTAGATAAGGAAGGTGAAGTTTAGAAAGGTTAAATAATTGGTTCAAATTATGCTACTAGTAGGTTATTGAGCAGGGATTGAAACCAGTGTCTTTGTACCTACAAAGACCATCCTATTAACCACTGTGTTACGCTGCGCTTGGAACACATTGGTTTAACTCCTTACTTAGCTAATGTCTTACTTGACAGTTTTTATGATTTTGTTTTCAACATTCTTCTCCAGGACCCAGAACATAACCATGTATCTTGAAAATTGGTGTCAGAGTAAACTGATTAGTCAGGCACTTGTGTTTATGTATGGTAAATAAGCCTTTAGTGGTTGTTTAGTAGGCATCCTGCACAGATGAGTAACTTTGAAGTACTGTATAGATGACACTCATTTAACAAGCACCTGTTGAGTAAGTGAAGACCCTCATAAGAATATTAAGACCTTTGCTCCACAGAGGCACCCCCAATTGCCTAGGTGGTTGTGGCCAAGCTCGACTACTTGAGGGTAGTCCATTCTCAAGGAGAGCCTCAGTGACCAGCTGTCTTTCTTCACCTCTCCACATCTAGTCTTTCACAAAGTCCCCCTCCTAAATATATCCTGAGTCTGTCTACTTCTCTCTTCACTGCCACTGCTCTCTTCTAAGCCACTACTGCCTCTTGCTGGATGACACAGTAGCCTCCAACAGGCCCTCCGTACCTCCCTCCCCAGGCCCTACCATAGGCCATCATTCACTGTAGTCAGAGTGACCTTCTGTGAACATAAACCGCATCTAGTCAACTTGCCCTTGGAAATCCTAATGTTGTCCCATTGCTCTTAGAGCAAAATGTAAACTTCTGACTAAGGCCAGCAGGGCTCTGAGGTTCTGACTCCCATATAGCCCTCCTACCTCATCCCATTTGACCCTGCTTCTTACCTTATTCCTGGTCTTCAAACAAGTCAGCCTCTTTCCTGCCTCATGCCCTTTGTATACTTCTCCTCGTCTGAATACACACTCATTACTGGATTTTTCTCATCTTGCTGGTGACATCAGCTCACATCACTTCCCCAGAGAAGATTGCCCTGACCATGCTCTCTAAGAGAGCATTCCCAGCCTCACCCTATTCAGTTATTCTATATTACATGACCTGTTTTTTACAACTTCTTTATTGTTCTCTAGTCTGTCCCTCATACTAGAATATAAGCTTTATGACAGCAGGCATATTACCTTTCTTATTCACTATTAAATCATTCACTATGTATGTATTTGTGCCTAGCACATCATAGGCACTTAATAAATATTTCTCATTTGAATGACTGGCTCACCCTGTTTACTCAGTCAACAAAGGGCCTTGCCTTCCCCTGTGGGTATTACCTGGAGCTGGGCTTGATATTTGAGAAATTGCTTGGGCCCTAGCCTTCCTTGGAGTAAGGAAATCTTTTGATTCCCTATTTTCTTCTTTTGTCTATTCTATGAGCTCATGAAGGACTGCTATAATTTTAATTTCCAATATATTGTAGAAATAATTCCGAATACGCATACATATGTAGTAAATCAAATAGGTAGCCAAATCAAGCACAGAAATTACATGTGTGATCTTTTTAAATGGTTAAGATTTTTCCATCTAAGTAGACTTGCTAGTTTTCCCTAGATCAATCAGTTATAACTATAAAAATGTTAGTTATGAAAGCAACTCAAAGTGCATTTTTTTCATCTTTGAAATAGGTATTTGGTGTTGGGGTCCCAAACCCATATCGACTGAGGCCATTCCTTGGGGCCAGAGTCCCTGTGAACAGCAGTTTCTCACCTATTATAAATATACACAATCCTCACAGTGAGCCTTTACAGGTGAGTTTATGATGATGATTTTGAATGAGTTTCATTTTGGCGAAAATTAATGCTTAGCATGAAATCTCAGTTTGTTGGGGTTTTCAAGACTACTTAAAATAATGGGGTTTTATGGATGTATCAGAGTAGGGTATTGTCTTGGTGCGGCTTGCTGTGGGGGGGATTTTGGGTTACAGTAGTCCAGGTATTGAATTTTTGGAACCACTTCTAAAGCTGTGGTTTCTCTGGTATTAGAGTTGCATAGCTCTGCCTTTAACTTAAGAGTTTTCAGCCACACAAGGCCACTGCTTTTCTAGCATAACGTAAATTTTTTAAAACACAGTTCATACTTATTTTTTGGTAATAATAAGTTTTTGGTGATGGCAGCCTAGAAATTAAAGTCCAAGGGAGGGGTAATATAGAATCCTGGTTAAAAGCAGACTTTTTTTTTTTTTAAGTCCAGCTCCTGATCTTATTCAGTCTGTTAGTACTGACTGTTTTCAAGTTTGAAATCTCCTCACTAGTTCCTTGTCTCTTGCACAGTGGGAGTGGCTAATGTTGCTCCTTCATGTACTTCCTAAAATCCCCACCCTATATTCCCAGTGACTTCCAACTATGTGACATTTGCTACCACTGTAGCTTCTCATTGTGTCATCTGGTTGGAAGGAGATGTGGATACTTTCCGCAATAGTCCATAATATCCACAGCCAGAGTTCTTTACCACCAGGCCCTAACAGTAGCTTGAACATGACCAGTGGAGGGAAAACACGACATGTTGTGGTAAACTGCAGAGCTTTCACCACCAAAATGGTTCTTGTCATCCCAGAACTCCCTGGTAGAAATGTTCATAAACAGAGAAAGTGAGGAAGAGTATAGTGAGATTTTTAGAGCATGAATTGTGAAATTATATGCTAAATTAGCAAGAAATGGATTTCTCCCCGACAACTTGGCTAACATTCGGTGAGCATGGCTACTAATAAGAATATTCTACCCAAATTTTAATTATTTTTAGCTAGATCTCTTCATTACAAAAGAAGAAAATGCTTTTCTGTCCTGTTTTTACAAGTGAAAAGTGTTTCCTCTTCATCATCAATTGAGCATTTATATCCTTTTGGCTAACTTTAGGTAATGGTGTATTTTCCCTGATCTGACTAATTCTTATGACAGATTATACAGAAATCTCATAAATTCCTGCTGCTTTCTTTCCTTGACTCTTTCCAGTCAACTGATTTTTGCTGTTGTTGTTAATCTAGGCTTTTTCCAATTATTACATTTTAATGAATATACACCACACTGGACTTTTTATCAGCATACAGGAGAGCAAATGGAAAAACCAAAGCTGCCCTCTTCGAACCAGTATAGATTATTTATCTGGGAGGCACTCTTAACCTGATGGTTCTATGTTATACTGTGTCACTAGTCTTATCCTTAATTTTAAGAAAGTACTGTAAATAAGTTGCATCGATTTGTTTATTATGTATAAAACACAACATGAGTATGTTTTCACTGAAAAAAAAATGTTAACAATTCAAACATGTGAAGCAAAAGTCCTCTTGAATTTCTACTTTTTAATCCAGTGCTATCCAATAGAACTTTCTTTGATGATGTATCTGTATCTGCTCAGTCCAGTACAGCAGCCACCAGCCACATGTGGCTAATGAGCAGTTGAATTTATGGCTAGGGTGGCTGAGAAACTGAACATTTCATTTTAATTATTTTAAATTTAAATAACCACGTATAGTTGATAACTGTTGTATTAGCACAGCTCTAGTCCCAAACCCCTCCTCATATATACTGTCCTGTCAGATCTTGGTGTGTCTTGTCTCCCTTTTCAGTGCATTTGCATGTTTACATGTGGACACACAAAAATAAATTCTTTATGCAAATTTTTTTACATAAATTATATTCTCTATATATTTTTGGCTTTTTTTCTATACGTTGTTAAATTAGAATAAATAACACTGGACTTAAAATCAGGAATATGTCGCGTTCCTAGTTTTAATGTGATCTTTCCTTTGTATTTTATAATGGAGTCATTTTCTGTCCCCGTTTTCCTTATTTCTTTCCCTATAATCAGTAGTCTACCTTTTAATCTTCTGTTTCCACACATCATTATGCTTATTTCCTTAATGCCTTGGAAGATTAAACAAAATCATATACGATGTCTTCTGGTTTTTCAGAAAAGGTTCTGTAGTTATTTCATCAGTTAAGGTGGTATCACTAGTAATACAGCTGGGACTATAGGGGAACACTAATAAATCAGAAGGCAGGTAATAATAGAGAAAACCTTAGCTCGTTAGTCTTTGCCACATGTGTTACTTTAACAACAACATACACCAAAAACCTTTTAAGTTTATACTAAAGTATTGCTGTTTTTCTTGCTTTGTCTATTTTTTATGTACCCCTGGAAGGACTTACGTGATAAAATAAGTAAAGGTCTTCCACCCATTCTTTTACTTCACCCCAAATTTGTATTTAATTAAGTATATTCTTGGGGTGCCTAGGTGGCTCAGTCAGTTAAGCAGCGGACTCTTGATTTCGGCTCAGGTCACAATCTCAGGGTCGTGGGACCAAGCCCCGCGGTGGGCTCAGCGTGAAGTCTGCTTGTCCCTCTCCCTCCAGTCCTTCCCCCACTCACGTATGTGCGCTGTCTCTCTCTATCCCTAGCTCTGTCTCTAAAATAAATAAATAAAATCTTTTTTAAAAAATTATTAAAAATAAAAAATTTTTATTTTTTTTTTAAAGATTTATTTATTTATTTTTTTTGAGAGAGAACAAGAGCAGGGAGGGTCAGAGGGAGAAGCAGACTAGCTGCCGAGCAGGGAGCCCCAATGCGGGACTCGATCCCGGGACTCCAGGATCATGACCTGAGCCGAAGGCAGTTGCTTAACCAACTGAGCCACCCAGGCGCCCTTCTTTCTTTTTAAGAGATAGGGTTACCTGCCCTTAAAGGAAAGTCTCCTGCCATATGACCCATTCTATCCCTAGGTATTTACCAAAGAGCAAAGAAAGCAGATGTTCACACAAAGACTTATACAAATGCAGTTTTCATAGTAGCTTTATCTGTAATGACCAAAAACTGGAAGCAACCCAAATGTCCATCACTAGGTGAATGGATCAAAAATTGTGACATAGCCATAAAATTAAAAAGAAATGAACTATTAATACATAAACAACGTGATGAATCTCAAAGTAATTACACTGAGTAAAAGCAACCAGGAAGAAGAGTGCATACTGTATGATTCCATTTATATAAAGCTCTTTTTTTTTTTAAAGACTTTATTTATTTGACAGAGTCAGAGCGAGAAAGGGAACACAATCAGGGGGAGTGGGAGAGGGAGAAGCAGGGTTCCTGCTGAGCAGGGAGCCCAATGCAGGGCTTGATCCCAGGACCCTGGGATCATGACCTGAGCCGAAGGCAGACGCTTAACGACTGAGCCACCCAGGCGCCCCATTTATATAAAGCTCTAGAAATTACAGACTAATCTTGAGTGGCCAGGCGCAGCTCATTGGTTGCCTCAGGGGTGTGAGGGGGTAGAGAGTGACAGATTGCAAAGGGCATGAAGAAAATTTAGAGATAATGGGTATATTTAATGTCTTAATTGCAGTGGTAGCTTCACGCCTGTATATGTATGTCAAGAATTTATCAAGTTGTGTACTTGAAATAGGGGTAGTTTATTGTAGATCAGTTATATCTCAGCAAAATCATGAATGTAGGTACAAGCCACAGAGGTATTATTAACAGTTCTTGTGATTTTTGCTACCAAGAGAAACCAAATACTGTCATACTGCATTAAAAATGTTACATATATCCCAGAATGACACATTCTTCACTATTTCACAGTTATAGTAGTTGTTAGATCTGCTGCTAAATCTTGTTATAAATGTGTGACTAAAGAAGCACTGTGTTACTATAAGAAGTACAAAAATTGTACTTCTATAAACTGGTTTTCCTTTGGAAAAAATAAAAGGTGTTCTATGGGTAGATTTTCTTTAATCCAGTGTCTGATATAATTACACTGTTTCTAAGTTTAATATTTGAAAATTACCTTGTTTTAGTTAAAAATAACCACCATTGGTCACACATATGAAGCACTGACTCCAGTGATAAGACACGATACTTTACTTTTATATCTGCACATGTTTTTAAATTTTTCTAAGACACGTGGTTGTCAGACTTATTTCTGTTTAACAGCAAATCACTTGCATTGAGAATATGGTTTCGAACTTAACCATCATGTGCTCTTTGTCACAGGTTGTAGAAATGTACTCTAGTGGAGGAGATCTTCACCTAGAACTTCCAACGGGCCAACAAGGAGGCACCAGAAAACTGTGGGTGAGTGCTGGCATATTTTTCTCTCATGTGTGGTCACTTGGAACCAGTTATGTTCCTAAATACACCAGAAATTATACACCACATTTATCAGCTGTGTAAATGTGGGTGACTTTCCCTTAATTATATCTTAATTTTAAATTTACATCAGATATATATGAAAATTGGATGATACATGGAGAGAAAAGTATAAGTAGTAATTTTTGGAAAGAGCAGTGAACAAAATCGGTGGGAGATTTGACCCACTGTGTGGAAAGGAAAAGGTTTCAACTATTCTTTCACAAAATTATATTGGTAAAGTTGTCTCTGAATCTAATCATTTATAACGTGCTTTATACTAAGATTAAAAAAGAAAAAACAAACCCTGTGGGAAGGATCCATTATATGTTTGAGGTAGAGAAGTGACTTTCCAGACTTACTGTTGATAGAGATGACGTTTTCAGAGGGAACGTAGTCAAGCCCTCGTGACAGCTTAGAAAATTATAAATTCTTAGGTGATCTACATCCACCTTTAATATTGTTGAATATTTAACACCACTTTGTGTCAGTGCTTAGAGAACCACTTTTTCTTAGAGAATACTGGCAAATATTAGCCAGATCAGTGAATATGTAGCAACTACCTTATTTGTAAAGTTCCCTGCCATACGAGGGTTTTTCTCTAATTGTTATCTACCATGCCTTAATCAAAGAGGGGAAAGGCATAGTAAGTGTCCTTCTTGTACCAAGGGCACTCAGATCGCTCCTCATCCATAATTGAACAGACTTGACTGCTATGAATAAGTTCTGAATATCAAATTTATTTATTAATTGCTCTCTTAAACACACATAGCCTCTTGTTCTGTCTTCTGACCAGTCTCGGCCAAGGAAGGGACACAGAAGGGACATTTTTAGGATGTTGACTTGAGCAATTAGAAACAAATTTGTCAGGGATTTGGTTAACTCGTCAGATATAGGAACAGAATGGCAGGTAGAAATACGTAATGGATGGTTCATTTATATCCTTTCACAAAAAATATTTTATCTTGAAATTATGTTACTGTTTGAAAAGCCTTTGCGAGAAATAGTATATAAAACAATGCTTCAGAGAATTAACTATAAGCTATTCAATTTGTATTTTAATTCTAGATAGAAGAACTAAGAATTTACTGTGAAATATAATTGGTATCTAATAAACATAAGAGAATTCAGATTTCTAATTAGTTAAGAACTATAACCAATGGTAGCAGAGATGGCATAATGTTTTAATACTCCCAGTGGCTACAAGGAAAGTTATTCTTATTCCTACATACGTGGAGTAAGAAAAAAATCAGTTGGCCTTGACCTCACCCTCAGCCCATTTACAGTGTACATAAGAAAAGCCCAGAGACTAAGTCAGCTCCCTAGAGATGGGGAAGTGGATGGTGCATCTCTAGTGGACCCAGGAGGGTTCCAAACACTTCTTTCCTACTTTGAGCCTAAAAAGTTTAAAAGAATAAAAGTAAGTGAAGACCAGTAAATTCTGTATCACAGGGATCTCCTCAAATATGCCAAAAGGTGTGTGCAGAAAAATTCTGATGGTCCCAAGGAGGCCAGATTTTGTAAAACCAGGAAAGAATTACATCTCAAAAAAAAAAAATTTTTTTTTCCCCCATTGAATCTTCCTTCTAGTGTATATTTGAGTGTTCTCTCATTACAGGCCTGAAAATGTTTGCGATCTTACTTGCTAAGAGCCTTACAGAAAGCAGTTGGTGAACTGTAGATTTGCCTGGGAAGTTTTGTTGTGTTCGGTTTTAAATGAGAGGACAGACAGGTCTAAGCTCTCTAGGTTAAAGAGATTCCTATAGACTTCGGGAAAAGCATTTCCCTCCAATGGTGATATGGCTGTTTGTTAAGAGAATGTTAGGACTGAATTATATGCCCAAGCATCACGCTAAAGAGTAAATGACTTTATAGATTAATTCTGTCTTTTAATGATAACTTTGCAACTGACAGTTTGTTTTCAGATAATTTTATTTCTTTCATTTGCTCAATATTACATACCATGCTTCATCAATTCTAAGTTGCACTTTTTTTTACATTTAATGTTCTTCAGAATTGGAGTGTGTTACAATCTGTGGAATATATTTAAGTGGCAATGTATTTTTTTTCTTAGTAGATATATAAAATATTGCATCTTTCAGTCATTGTCATCTTATTCATTAAACTATGGTGGTTTTGCAACATGACAAAAGCTGTGCTACATTATGGTCTATTAACTTGTCAGGAGATTCCTCCTTATGAAACCAAGGGAGTGATGAGAGCCAGCTTTTCATCCAGAGAAGCAGATAATCACACAGCCTTCATCAGAATAAAGACGAATGCTTCAGACAGCACAGAGTTTATCATTCTTCCTGTCGAGGTAGAAGTTACAACAGGTTAGTAGAAAATTGAAGGAGCTGCAAATGTATGTTTGTTTGGTTTTCAATACATCTTACTCTGGGCAAAGTAATATCTAATGGTTTACTTTTCTCTTTTCCAAGCCCCTGGAATTTATTCCTCAACCGAAATGTTAGATTTTGGTACACTACGAACACAAGGTAAAGAAAAGAGACAGTATTTTTCTAAGTCTTAAAAAAAAAACAAAAAAACTCTGTTCAGTGCTGAATGGCTGGCTCTACTTTAACTCCTTGGTAACTCAGCTTTGAAAGTTACCTTTTGGTAGGTTACATGATCTCGTAGAAACCTACTGTTGGGAACTCAGAGCCCTCACGAGTTCATACCCCATTCTTCTGAGGGACGCCATTGCTTACCAGGTGGGAAAGCAAGGTCATGAGATAAGTGAAGTCTTCTAAACAGAAGACTGAGGAAGAAGGCATAATTTCTGAGTTTTTGAATCTAGTTTGTCACATATTCAGTTATGCTGAATCTTTTTTTAATAGTAAAATAAAGGAAATAAAAAGCTTTATTTCTGGATTCTTAGTAATGGATTATTCTGTTATATTATTAATTTTAATATTTTATTATTATTAATATTATTAATTATTCAGTTATAACGTTAGACTTTGTCCCAGATGGTCAAAGAAAGTATTCGAATTCTAAAACTGAGATCACTCAAGTTAAAGGATTTATTAAGGAAAAAATAGAAATACTTATAATGTGGGATTTCTGTGGGCCATGTGTAATTAGAATTTGGTTGTTTAGGATTGAAGACCCCTTTTTGAAAATTAGATTTGGTTTTAATGTGATAATTTCACATTGCACATTATTAATTTGCTTCCTTATGCTTTGCTGGAAAACGAAAGATTAGTAATGTCTAATTCAACTAAAAAATTATGTTTTGTTTTTCTGGTTATTTAGGAGGGGGCAGTTCTTGTAATACACAGTATCCTTATGAGTAAGGTGACTGCTATCTATGAGTTAAGTAGAATCACATTCTTTTTATTAATGTGATTGTAGTTCTTTTTCACATTCTAGAATAGATTCAATCTGGTATCTAATAAGGTAAAAATTATAGTTTGCTGTAAAGCACACCTGTTAAAGAAATATTTCTTTTCTTCAATTTTAATAGATCTACCAAAAGTTTTAAACCTTCATTTACTAAATTCCGGAACAAAAGATGTACCAATAACAGTAAGTTTTTACCTCTTTTCTCCTAATTTATATATTCTTTGTTTTTAAACTTATGACAAACTTAAAAATAATTAAACCTCTAAAGGATTCTGTTTTATGGTGGCCTAGTGACACTTGGGTTCAAAGTGTGATGTGAGAAACCTATTCTGCCTCTAACCACTAGATTTTGAAGATTAGAAGGAAAGTACATGATCTTCCCCAAGCTAAGTCTGAACCAAAGTCCCTGAGGTTCTTCTTTAGGCAGAGTCATATAAGAGGCGTGTGGATTCTGGTAAATCCTAGGATGTGTGCCATGTGCAAAGAAAAACGGATTATAAGGATTCCATCAGGTTTAGTTGTTAGACATAAGGCATGGGTAAGTAAAAAGAGGGGGGGAAAAGGGTTCAGATGATTTGGGAAGAGAAATAATAATAAAGCACAGAGACATGGTAGGTAACATGAGAATGCTGTTAATATTTGTCCAAGGTACCCTTCTAACTGGCACCTACTACAGCATAGTAGATAGCAGACTACAAACCAGGGTCCTCTCTTCCCCTCACACATGCACATAGAACAAGTGACTGTAGGCCTTACAGTATAATTGGGGAGCCATTACACAATTTTATGGGTAAAAAAGAAAGATACCCAAATTTTGCTTTGGCCCACAACCTTACCTCCTAGTGAAGACCCCAAGATACATATATAGGGAATAATGGAAAAAGAAAGCAGTACATTTTTATTATAGCCTGTGCTAATGTCAGAAGCCTAAATTCAGAGAACTCTGATAAAATGAGATACATCAAATGGGCATGAGACTTAAGGGACCTTTGTCCATCCATGGCCAAACCCAGAATGTATAGCCAGCTGGTGGAGTAGACCAAAGAGAGGAGAGCTTACAAACCGTAAATGAGGGAGCGAGAGACGGCCATCCCAGGCAACCGTATTTTTTTTAAAGATTTTATTTATTTATTTGACAGAGACACAGTGAGAGAGGGAACACAAGCAGGGGGAGTGGGAGAGGGAGAAGCAGGCTTCCCGTGGAGCAGGGAGCCCGATGCGGGGCTCAATCCCAGGACCCTGGGATCATGACCTGAGCCGAAGGCAGATGCTTAACGACTGAGCCACCCAGGCGCCCCTGGGCAACCATATTTTAATGCACAGTAACTGTGCTCACTGATCATAGTCCAGGCAGTGTCCTGCTGTCTGACCTAGTATTTCTTCCTGCTAAGTAGAAGAACTAGGGGAATGGGGTCTGGTAGAGAGCTTCCCCCACTCTACAGTGGGCTGAAACTGCCCCACTTGGAGTTCCTGCCTGTCCACTGTTTGGCAAGCTGAGAGAGACCTGTGAAGCAGTTGTCTGGGTCTGCTGTGATTCATACCTGTCCTCCTCGGGGGTCCTCAAGAGACCCTGCCACAGATGACAAGGAACAGCTTTTTTTGACCATTGAAACAAAACACAAAAGCCTGAGCAACAGCATTATATCTCATTTTTGTTATTTTTCTTCTTAAATAGCAACTTTAGTGCATATATTTTTATATGCTTGCTTTTAAAAATATATTCTTTTTTTTTGATTCAGTGACTTTCTTGATTTTTTTAATTCAGTTTTTGGGTGAAAAGATTGTCATCAAAGTCCCTGTGGAATGAAACTATCAGCACATTCTCCAGTGATGACCTTTTACATAAGAAAATATTACAGGGGCACCTGGGTGGCTCAGTCCATTAAGCGTCTGCCTTCAGCTCAGGTCACGATCCCAGGGTTCTGGGATCGAGCCCCGCATCGGGGTCCCTGCTCAGCTGAGAGCCTGCTTCTCCCTCTCCCTCTGCTGCTCCCCCTGCTTGTGCTCCCTCTCTCTCTCTCCCTGTCAAATAAATAAATAAAATCTTTTAAAAAAAAGAAAATATTACAGTGAATGTTTCTGTTGTATGATTTCTTTGTCATTCCTATTTATAGCAAGAATTAAGTACATTTTCCTGAATACATAATGCTGATTGTTATATATTGAGGGGTTAGGGACTGGTTTTGTCTAACTATACTGACATTTTCACAAGTCTATGGAAAAATGAGCAAAATAAGAACAGTAATGTTTATATGAACACCCTTCTGGACAAGGACTGTTCTGTAATGATACACTTTTTTCTTTGTTTGACGTTAAGATATCTGTTGTCCTATAAAGGTGGTAGATAGCTGTGGTGTCGTCGTTGTTTTCCAGTAGAATGAGTTGGGAAGTATTCTCTCCTCTTCTGTTTTTGGGAAGAGTTTGTGAAGGACTGGTGTTAAATTCCTCTTAAATGTTTGGTAGAATTCAATGAAGTCCTCTGGGCCTGGGCTTCTCTTTGTAGGAAGTTTTAAAATTCGGTCTCTTTAGGCTTATTCAGATTTTCTATTTCTTCTTGCCTCACTTTCAGTGGCTTATATCTTCCTAGAGATTTTGCCATTGTGTCTCAAGTTTCTAATTGGTTGGTATACCAGTGTTCATAGTATTCCCTTATGATTCTTTTGTCCCTGTGAAGTAGGTAGTAACATCCCATTTTTCATTCTTGATTTTAGTAATTTAGTCTTCTCAATAGTATTTAAAAAGTAGTTTTGGTCAGTGTAGGAAAAGGTTTGTCACTTTTCTTGATCCTTTGAAAGAGGAGCACCTGGGTGGCTCAGTCAGTTAAGCGTCTGCCTTCGACTCAGGTCATGATCCTGGGATCCTGGGATCAAGTCCTGCATCCGGCTTCCTGCTCAGCAGGGAGTCTGCTTCTCCCTCTGCCCGCCGCTCCCCCTGCTTGTGTTCTTTCTCTCCCTGACAAATAAATAAATAAAATCTTTTTTTAATGTCTTTTTCAATAAACATTTTCTTTAAAAATGAAATTATCAATTAATTGTAAGAATATGAATGAAAAAATACCATAGTATTCAATTCAGTTATAACAGAGAAGGGAAGAGGCTAATGTTCCTCCTTTCTCTTAGGGAGTTTTAGGATACATTATAAGTCAACATTTTTGTTCTTACTATGGCTCAGGCACTATGCTAGGTTCTTTACGTGGATTACCTTATTTAACACAAAAGTCCTATAACATACACAGGTTCTAGTTTTCCAAAGAAGGAAAATGAATCAGAGCTTTTTTTTTTAAAGCAACTTTTCCAACCATAAAATCTCAAAAGTTACTTGAAAGTATGTTAGTATATAATGACACCCATCAAGTATTTACAGATATATCACTTTAATTTCACATTCGGTATTTCTACTAAAAATCTATTGATGTATAATATCTGTCTGTATATCTGCATCGGTAGCTACCTGTGTAGTATTTTTTCGAATATCCAGAGCCTAAACTCTGCCAGTGTTTTGGTAGTTTTGTCTTACTTCCTCATTCATTCTTCCTTATTCACCCAGTAAATATTTAATGAGCGTCAACTATATGCCAGCTTCTGTGCTAGGTACTGAGAACACAGCAGTAAATCAGACAACCAAGGTTTCCGCCCCTATTGAACTCACTTTTTAGCTGGGAGACTGATGACAAGTATACAACATAATTGTAAATCGAACCAAGTTCTAACAAAAAAAGAAACAGAATGGCATATAAGTGGGGGGAGGGAGGTGGTTTAGATAGGGTTGTCTCTGAGGAGCTGACATTTGAGGTAAAAACTAAAGAGTAAGAAGTTGGCACCCGTAAGAGAAGCTGGCAGACAAACATTCCCATCAAAGGGAACAGCAAGTGCAAAAGCCTGAGGCAGGAACAGCTTTGGATGTCGTGGGAAACGGAAGGGTTGAATGTAAAAAGGTGAGGGCTGGAGAGTTAATCATGGCTTTCTGGGCTTTGATTATTTTAAGTGCAACAGCAAATCACAGAATTTTAAGCAAGGGAGTGACATCTGATTTATGTGTTGTAAAGGTGGAGAATGCACTGCAGAGTTAGTAATTTGTTGCACTGGTCCACTTGAGATGATGTTAGCTTAGACTTCTTACTTATCAGCCAGGGGACAAGCCCATCTACCATGCAAACTGAGTTTCCAGAGAGCTTCCTAAGGTTTTTTCCTCTGTTTTTCTGCATAATATGCCAGACATAGAGACTGACACATTTTTAAGTGTCCTTACCTCTGGATGAGCTCTGTCCATTTTGCAAATATATAACATCTTAGGATGAGCTAGGCATTACCAGAAGCTGGAGGGTTTTTTAATTCCCCTTCAAGGAATTCAGAGTCTCTTCATCTTTCTAGATATGGGACTCCTGAAGCAAATGTCTCAAAATAAAAATTTCTTACCTGCAAGTGGTCAAGATGCCCAGGTTCAAGCCTACCTGACATTGATTGTCTATAATGCAACTCTGAGAATATGATTTTCCTCAACACTTAAGAAACATTAGTGTGGTATAAATGATGGAATGAATTTGCTTGTGATATCTTAAGAGAAACATTTGCATAAAGTTTCCTTACTGATAATGAATAAGAAACACAGATATGTTTGTCAGTTGTACCACTGTCAACTTGATAAGAGCTTTAGTGAACTTGTGTACCTGTTGTTAAAAATACAATTGTTACATTCTGGAAGGTTATTTTCCTTACTTGCTCAAATGTATTTGTAAGTAGTTTTAGAGTGTCCTGGGCCTTTGAATCTCACTTGAGAGTTACTGAGCTTTAGTTGGGTATGAATATCGTGAGAAAAGGCTAGAATTGTATTTAGAACATGTGCAAGCTGCCTTTCCTGGGAATCTTGCCATATTTTTGCCACTTCTCAATTATCTTTAGTAAGCAACAGTTAGTAACTGATACTAAAACAGATTGTTAGTGTAAATATGCTTAATACAAGTTAATGATTATGTATTATTTTTCCTTTAAAGCCACCAGAATGAGTCAACTATTTAAGTGTTTTGTTTGTTTGGCTTCGTTTTTCTTTCCTTGGAAAATAGATTTTAACTGATTTAGGGTTGGGTTTTTTTAATGATAAGTGAATAATTCAGATCATTCGTATAAAACATAAGTCAATTGAATATTTGCTTACTATTGGTGTAATATATATATATAAGGGTAATAATACTGAATATAAAAATTTTCCTCTGGTAAGGAAAATCTTAAAGTAATATGTTTCATGAAAGAAAAACATTTTTCATCAAGTATTCTAAGATCTTACTACTTAAAGTGACTATATATTTTTAATTTTTTTTGATTAACAAAATGTTACTGATAAAATTTTTTTCCTTTTTTTATTATGTTAGTCACCATACAGTACATCATTAGTTTTTTGATGTAGTGTTCCATGATTCATTGTTTGCATATAACACCCAGTGCTCCATGTAATACGTGTCCTCCTTAATACCCATCACCGGGCTAACCCATCCCCTCACCCCCTCCCCTCTGAAACCCTCAATTTGTTTCCTGTAGTCCATAGATCTTTTATTTAAATTCAGTTTAATTAACATATATTGTAATTAGATTCAGAGGTGTATTTTTGGGTTCATCAGTTGCATACAACACCCATTGCTCATTACATCAGGTGCCCTCCTTAATGCCCATCACCCAGTTACCCCATCCCCCCCACCATCCCTCCAGCAACCCTCAGTTTGTTTCCTATAGTTAAGAGTCTCTTATGGTTTGCCTCCTTTTCTGTTTTCACCTTACTTTATTTTTCCTTCCCTTCCCCTATGTTCATCTGTTTTGTTTCTTAAATTCCACATATGAGTGAAATCATATGGTGTCTTTCTCTGATTGATTTATTTCACTTAGCATAATACCCTGTAGTTCTATCCACATCCTTGCAAATGGCAAGATTTCATTGTTTTTGATGGCTGAGTAATACTCCATTGTATATACATATGACATCTTTATTCGTTCATCTATCGATGGACATCTGGGCTCTTTCCGTAGCCTGGCTGTTGTGGACATTGCTGCTATAAACATTGGGGTGCATGTGCCCCTTCGAATCACTGTGTTTGTATCCTTCAGGGTAAATACTAGTAGTGCAATTGCTGGGTCATAGGGTAGCTCTATTTTTAACTTTTTGAGGAACCTCCATACTGTTTTCCAGAGTGACTACACCAGTTTGCATTCCCACCAACAACTTACAGTGACTATATTTTAATAAATACCATTGCTTAGCTATTTCTGGTAAGGTATTGTGCAGGCTGATAACACTCAAAAAGTGTTGTGGTTGTTACTACTGAACTGCCACCAAACTGCCAAAGCATGTTTGAAAATGGTCAAGGTTTTGTTACAGCTCTGTCATGTTCAGTAGAGCATGTGGAAGTCCTCTGCAAACTACAGAGCTTTATTTGATCATCCCTCTAACAAATCTTGACCTCAGGATAAAAGTGGCTCATTTGGAAAAAAAAAAACAAAAAACAAAATTAATAGAATCACAGAACTTTGTAGATAGATGGAATCTGAGAAAATACCTAATCTAATCCTAGTGTTTTACAAGCAGGAAAAATAAGGCCCAGAGTCGATAGGCAGCTTACTCAAACTGACACTTCTAGTGAAATAGTTAATATCTTTTGTTACATAAGCCAGTCACTGTGGGACTGTCACATATACTCTGTACTGCTTTCCTTTCTTATGGAAGAAGTATTAGTGTAGTAGTATAATATATGAAACCTTTCCATTTTGTAGTTTATCTCACAGGTCAAACTGTTTTGTTTTATTCTTAAAAATAAGACACACATGCTCACACAACCTTCAAGGAAGGAAGAGATTTGTATTTTAAATGATTGCTACTAACAGCAAGCTTATTGATGATAAATATATCAGTGTGAACAAATCCACTTGAAGCCCCAGTTAGAGATTCAAAAGCAAATGAGAAATTCAGAGGAAAGATAAAATACTGAGAAAGCCTGAGGCCAAGAGCTCAGGCTATTAAGATTTCCAGCTCAGAGAACTGCAGAACCACCCTTAGGGCCATCATTTCAGGCCCCATAAAGATGAACCAGCAGTGAGAAGAGAGATGCCCTGCCATCTGGTGTAAAAGCAGTATTTGTGATCATTATGTGTATAACCAGCTTTGTTCCCTATGATCGCGGACACAAGGCAAAAGGAGAAGTTTTTTGGTTTTTTTCTTTTTTAATTTTTTTAATTAACATATAATATATTATTTGTTTCAAGGGTACAGGTCTGTGATTCATCAGTCTTACACAGTTCACAGCACTCACCATAATACTTACCCTCCCCAATGTCCATCACCCAGCAACCCCATCCCTCTCACCCCCCTCCACTCCAGCAACCCTCAGTTTGTTTTCTGAGATTAAGAGTCTCTTATGGTTTGCCTCCCTTTCTGTTTTCATCTTATTTTATTTTTGCTTCCCTTCCCCTGTGTTCATCTGTTTTGTTTCTTAAATTCCACATGAGTGAAATCATATGGTATTTGTCTTTCTCTGATTGATTTATTTCACTTAGCATAATACCCTCTAGTTCCATCCACGTCGTTGCAAATGGCAAGATTTCATTTTTTTGATGGCTGAGTAATATTCCATTGTGTATATATATATACACCACATCTTCTTTATCCATTCATCTCTTGATGGACATCTTGGCTCTTTCCATAGTTTGGCTATTGTGGACATTGCTGCTATAAACATTGGGGTGCATGTACCCCTTCGGATCCCTACATTTGTATCTTTGGGATAAATACCCAGTAGTGCAATTGTTGGGTCTTAGGGTAGCTCTATTTTCAACTTTTTGAGGAACCTCCATACTGTTTTCCAGAGTGGCTGCACCAGCTTGCATTCCCACCAGCAGTGTAGGAGGGTTCCCCAAAAGGAGCAGTTTTTCTTCATACTCTTCTCAGGCACTTCTTGTGCCTTCATGCAACTGCCCTTCAGTTTAGTCAGATTCCACTTTTATGGATCAACTGAAAGGGTGGGTAGGGAGCCAGGGGGAAGAACTTGGTGATGTGCAAGGATCTGACCGCGCCCGTGTTAGCAGGGGCACCTGGTGAGTGTCACAGAAGAGAACTGTGTTCTTTCTATGGGAAGCATCAGGCTTTGACGACAAGTTTGTAAAGCCCTTGAAAATTCAGCCAAAACCAAAATTCAGACCCAAGTAAGATTCTAATTGAATTCTAAAGGAAGATTATTGATCAAGATTTGTGTCCAGTACCATGACTTCACTGACACATGTTTAGGCAATAGGATGCCAAGTAAAGGGCCCAGACCCTGGACCAATTCAGGACACCTGGTTTCCAGCCCCACCTCTTGATGCCTAGCTATTGAAACATCACTCCATATTGGAAGGTTCTCTTCATCTGTAAAACAGGGAAGCAGGTTGGGATCTTTAAGGTTCCTTCCAATGAAAAATGCTTTGTGTCAGTAAGGATAATAAAAAAGTAACTGGTGCACCTGGGTTGTTCAGTCAGTTAAGTGTCTGCCTTCAGCTCAGATCATGATCCCGGGGTCCTGGGATCAAGCCCCACATCGGGCTCCCTGCTCAGCAGGGAATCTGTTTCTCCCTCTGCCCATTCCTGTTTGTGCTTGCTCTCTCGCTCTCTCTCAAATAAATAAATAAAATCTTTAAAAAAAAAAAAGTAACTGCACCTTAAAATGTAAAATGCATTTTTCTAGCTTGCTCCAAAAGCGCAAGCTTTTATTGTGTTTGTTATTATAGGTTTAGTTGTTGAATAGAAAGATCTTATTTTTTAAATTTAAACTGTTCTGACCTCTGCAAGCTACACAGCTCTTCAGTCTGCCCCACTGCTCAGGCCCGCAGCTGGGAGCGCAGCCCTGCCTGGTGACAGCAGCATGCCTCACTTGCACAGCTGCGCCCTAGAGACATAGAGAAAGTACCACCAAAAGTGGGATCTGCAAAACTACTTTGACAGAGGGGTACCGGCTCCCAAATTCATGTTCATTCTTCATATAGTCAGGATATTACATTTGGTATTATGGAGTTCTGGAAGAGGGACCCTATCATAAATCTTCATGTCTCCTTCTCTCATATATTAATTGGGCACTTGTTTAGAAAATAAATACCTTTCTTTTCTGCTTTATGTATTCATACCTAGTGTACTAGTTTGTCTCTAGATTTTTACACTCACTTACCTATCATATACTTTTCCTCTGCCCATCATTTTATTTCATGAAGATATTCTGATGAAATTAATGTCAACTTGTGTCAGTTTGGCCTACTGTATTTAAAGGGAACATGTAAAGTTAAACTTTTCCAATTTTGATTCTGCTTCACTTTTCAGTACACTCTCCAGTATAATGTAACTGAACCATTGGACTAAAATAATGCTATATATATTTTTCTGTTTGCAGAGTGTTCGACCTACACCACAAAATGACGCTGTAACGGTACACTTTAAACCAATTACATTGAAAGCTTCAGAAAGTAAATACACCAAAGTTGCAAGTATTAGTTTTGATGGTAAGTATTCATCTTTTTCTAATGAAGTGATCTTGTTTTGACAAACCAGAAGGCATGTTATATTGACATCTTAATGTAGAAACACTGACCATTTTATAGTCAGATTTTATATTACTGCTTAGGTTGGTTTATCTTATAAACAATCACAAGCTCTTATTTGATTGCTTCATGAAAGAAAATGCAAGTTCATAAACTGAAATTAATATTAGCAAATACATTAGGATTGGAATTAAATTTTTGTAATCTGGGTTTTCACATATATACCTAGCAAGCTTTGCCTTAATTATGAAGTCATTATTTTTTGTAACTGAGTGATAATGTATTTGAATTTCAGAAGCATGTTTGAATTTGAGAATAGAAATATTCTCCATAACAGTTTCATATATTGACTTTTTAAACAAGGCAGTCAGTTCTGCCTAACCTAAAATAATAGCCTTTATGATAGCATTGTCAAATTAGAGAACTATTATTTCAGATATGTATATTATATATTTTGACATTTGAAATGTTAACCCAGACTTTAACATACTTTAAAAGCATGTTTTTATTCAGCTTTGTCCACTTTACTAGAACATTTATTGAGTTTGCTGTCACAAAATTTTTTTAAATAGTGATTTAATGGCTGCCTAATTGTACTTAATGAGAACTGACACTCAAATGGGACTTTTCTCGTAAGGGCTCTTGCAAGTAAGGAGCCCTAAAGCTTACACTTCGGCTTTATGATGAAGCCACCTCTGCTCATAGCCCAGATTTCACAGCTACACTCCTCATCAGAAGAGAGCGTTTGATCGCTGTGCCCTACTGAGTGTAGCAGAATACTGGAAGACTCTGCACTGTTTATGAGAGCATCTGTGCTTACTCCTTGTACATGAAGAGCTCTGGGGAGGATCTGGAGCAGAGCACAGGCTGGGTGCCAAGCTTTAGTGTTCATCCTATGAGCTCAGAGAAAACTCCCGAAGAAATCAAGATTAAATCTGTGACATAACTTTCATAACGCAGCTATCAAGAAAGAGAATTGTAGAAGGTTTTGATGCCCCAGTTATTTCCAAATCTGTGATAAACTGTCTTCTCTGTTGCTGGGATACCACAGTCATGTCTACCAGTATCCGCATCAGCAAGTGCATTCTCTTCTCTCACCGAGGAGAGCAGCCAGTAATAATCCCTGACCCTGAGAACTTTTCGGATCCACACTCCTGGGGGAGTGTGCCCCAGGAGCAGGTGTGCTATATAGTTATCCCAAGCTCTTCTTCTCCAGCTCCTGAACCGACAACCCAGTGAATGTTTCCCTTCGTGTGATAAATGAATGTCAGTAATGTTGGTTCTTCTGAGATCACAGACTCTAAAAAAAGTATTTCTTAAATTATGTAACATTAATAAAAGGAAAAGCATCTTTTAAAGTAAATGCTACATTTTTTCAAGGTGGTTTTTATTATCATTGGAAAATCCTTCCATCTTTCACCTCCCACCTCCCCTTCTACCACCCCAGTGCATAGTAGGAATATTGTACAGCCTCCTAAAATAATAATGGCTACACAGCAAGCAGAAAGAAATGAGGATTAATGGGAGTTTTAAAAATCTGAAATCACTGTCTGTACACAGCCATATACTAGATGTCATACCATTCTTTTATTTTTCTTTTTTTGTGCTAAAGTTGGATAACACACATTTGCAGAACTCACATAAGTTCTTCTCCTAACTAGAAGTGTTCCAGAAGTACCTTAAACAGGATAAACAGCTTCTTTATTCACTTTGAAATGAACATCTAATGGGTACCCAGAATGGATCCACCTGAATCTATTTCTGTAATTCCAGATGGAATTATTCATAACTGCTACAAAATTGAAAGATATTACTTCATCTCTGAGGACAATATGATGGCAGGGAGAGTCTTATACTAGGAGTTAGGGTTGGCTAATACACGAAGTCAGAGCTCACAACACCTGACACTTCTCGTACCATGCTATTTGACTGATACTTATAACAAGACTCTGGCATACAAGGAATGTTATTTCTTAATACAGCTGTAAGCCAGTGGTTCTCAGTGGGAGCCAGTTTTGCCTCCCAGGCCAGGGGACATTTGACAGTGGTCACAGACATTGTTGGTTGTCTCATCTGGGGGGCTGCTACTGCTGTCTGGCAGGTAGAGGCCTGGGATGCTGCTGAGCATCCTCCAGTGCACAGGACAGACAGCCCCTGCACCCCAGAAAGAACTGACCTGGCCTAAAATGTTCATAGTGCCCAGGGTGAGAAGTCCTGGTGGAAGGAAAGCCACAGCTTAGGACTCTAGGGAAGTAGCTCAAATACAGTGTTTTTCCTCCTAGATTGTGTTCACTTGCTAATTCCTTATCTGTTTAATCCTATTACAGGAAAATTGAAATAGTTTTCCCTTTTTCTGGATGAAAAATATGATATTTAATGTAAAGTGTTGTAAAAGTCTCCTGTTTGCCAATCTGAAAGCTCAACTATGCTTTTAAAAGATTGTGTCAGTCTACATCAAGTCACTCTCATCCTTCTCTGTAGAAACTCTGGTAGCAAAAGGTGACAGAGAGAATTTTTTGTTTCCTTTTAGCATCAAAGGCAAAAAAACCATCTCAATTTTCTGGGAAAATAACTGTTAAAGCAAAGGAAAAGAGTTATTCTAAACTCGAAATACCATATCAAGCAGAAGTTTTAGATGGGTGAGTTCCTCTTTAAAATAAGCTTTATAACTTTTCACTAATCGGTAAATTCTCTTTTCCTACTAATTGACCTTAGCAGAAGTAGTAACCAAATTCACATAAGCTCCATGGAACTTTTGTTGAAAAGAATAACTTCTACTTTATTGTTTTTACTTTTTTAGAAGAAAAAGGTAAATGGGATGGTATGATTTGGGCTTAAATGAAGTCTTAGTGATTCAGTAATACAATAGAAAAAGGAATCTATGATTTTTAAATAACATTTACATCATTGGAGCTATTTCCTTTCTGTAATTCGTTTTGTAACGTACAAGTGGTTGTGGCTTGTTATTAAAGTCTAATGTCACTTGAAACAAAATCATTTATCTTCCTTTGTAAACTTGTAAACAGTGTTCTAGAATTACAACTTTTTATAAATGGGTAACAATTTATGTAGTTCATTTTTGGATTATACTTGAAACAATAATAGTTTAATATCCAACTTGGTAGGAACTCATTTTAACAAAGCTGGTTGCAATTAAATGATAAACATGATTTTTTTTAAGTAGCTTAAAACTTTCTGTTAATACGTTCTTGATTTTAATTGTTTGATTGCATATAATTCAATAGAGAATAATTCTTTATATTATATGTCGATATTTTGCAATCTAAGTTTTGTTTTAAATCATGTGCTCATGCTCTAAAATATTCATAGTTCTAATTCTCAAGTAACAGTCCTTAATGTTAAATGTAAAATTATTACAACAGAAGAACTTGGATTTTAAATTAATGCATAGAGATAAAAATGATTTATTTTGTTTATGTTTTTTCAAATAGTTATTTGGGATTTGATCACGCTGCCACATTATTTCACATCCGAGACAGTCCTGCTGACCCTGTAGAAAGGCCAATTTACCTGACTAACACTTTCAGCTTTGCAATCCTCATTCATGATGTGTTGCTACCAGAAGAAGCCAAAACAATGTTTAAAGTATGTCTGGGAACCCTCATACTTTTCATTTTACTGATCTGCCAACTAGATGATGCTGACCCATTGTTTTTTTCTCTCCCCTCATTTCCTAGGTTCACAACTTCAGCAAACCAGTCTTAATTCTTCCAAATGAATCAGGATACATTTTTACACTGTTTTTTATGCCCTCCACATCATCCATGCACATAGATAACAATATTTTACTTATTACCAATGCTTCTAAATTTCATTTACCTGTGCGGGTATATACAGGCTTTTTAGATGTAAGTATGTTGTACCTTTAAAATTTAAGTTCCCAGCCATCTTTTGTGTGTTCAGGTATTATTAGGCAATCATTTTGTACATGAGCTCTTTAAGTTGCTCTAATCCCTCCCCTCAGTACTTTCAAGATAAATGGTTTTCATCCTTCCCAGTAGTCATCTCTTGTCGTGACACAGATGAATCCTTTTGTTACGGCTTGCGCTTAGGTCTTTTCCATGTTGTGCTTTCTCTTGGTTTTACTTTTAAACTGTTACAATCATGGGGAAACTGAAAACAAACTAAGTGGAGGAAAATAATAAGCAGGAAAAAAATAATACAAGGAGGGCAAAGAAGAAACTAAGGAGGTGGTGACCAAAACGAGGAAATACAGCGTAAAGAAAAGAACCAAATAATAAAGAAGAGAGTAAGGTGGTAAAGACACACAGTTGGAATAGCAGGAAAGAATAAAGGTCTTTCTAATATAGAAAATAAGCCAGGAGGAAAAAAAAATCCAAACTAAGCTCTCCTTAGGATAATCAGTGGAAGAACTTTAGATAAAAAATAAAACTGATGAGAGATATGAAAGATAAAAAGAAAATTAGAACATATAGAGATGTAGTTCTCCAAAAAGCCAACATCAATAAGAATTTCAGAGCTGGAGGGACTTTTCAATATTATCCCACTCCTTCTTCATTTGTTTTGCTTGAGTGATTATGTATTTTTGGCTGCTCTCATGAATACATAATGTTTACCGAGACCAAGGATTTTTTGCCTAATCCTCGGGGGTTTTACTTACCCTTCCCTAGTACTCTAACTTCCTGCTTCTTTTACGTGCCTTCAGAGGAGAAATAGTTATTCCATAGAAACTATGAACGTGTTCATTTCTGATTACTGAAAATACTCATTGTACAGAATTCTTCATTATATTTTATATATGTGTATATATGTGTATACTGACATAAAATATAGAAACCTTAGTATGTCCATACAGCTACTTTCTCTTGATACCATGCTTTTATATAAGTGTGATTTAATGTTTAATCTAGTTCTTTTATATCTTTTCAGTACTTTGTATTACCCCCCAAAATAGAGGAACGTTTCATAGATTTTGGCATATTGAGTGCTACAGAAGCAAGCAATATTTTATTTGCAATTATAAACAGCAATCCAATTGAGGTAAAAAAAAAATGTTTTTATTCTAAATCACGTTTAAGTGTTTTATGCTAGTGCTACAATAATCCCTTTCATATCTTTCTCTTTTTTTAAGTTGGCTATAAAAAGTTGGCATATCATAGGAGACGGTTTATCAATAGAACTCGTAGCTACTGAAAGAGGCAACAGAACTACAATAATTGCAAGCCTTCCAGAATTAGAAAAATCCTCTTTATCAGACCAGTCATCAGTAAGTAAACTTTCTTATTGTTTCCTTAAACTTAGTTGTATGTCTAAACCCCAAATAAAAGTCTATTCCTATGACACATACTTGAACTGATATTTTTATGAGATTCATAATAGCATCAGTTATTTAATATTAAAAGGTTCTTGTGGGCAATCTACTTCAACTCCCTCCTTTTATGATGAGGGCACTTGAAACCCAAAAGAGTTAAGTTCTACCTTGTCATTTAAGGTTCTGTAACAAAGAAAATTTAAATAATCTTTTTGTAACACAAGTGTCATTACAAGAGAAATTCCCATTGGCACTAAACTAACCCTATGTTCATTGAATTTACTTGGCAAAAGAAATTGCCCTGCGCATTGGTAGAAGGTGTTTTCAGTTATACAGAATATTTCTGACCAGTTTTCTCTAAGTGAGACAAATCTTGTTTGATCCCTTTGTAGATCTGCCCATATACTTTTACTCTGTCTTATAAATATGTACATTTGGTCATAAAAGAGCATGAAACAAGAGAAAACAGATATATCAGTCAAAGCCTTTACACTACTGGAAGTGGAACTTGGAGTTTATACCGATTCAGAACAGAACTAGTAGAATTACCCTGTGTGAGAAGGGGCATAACATATCTCATCTGTAAGTTAAGGATAGAACTTCTTGTGGCAGTCTTACAAAAGAAGGAGAAAATGTCCTTATGCACAGAGATGGTTGACAGATACGCTTCCATGGACTGCCATAAGCTATAAAAATTTATTTAAATAGTTTGTGCCAGAAGCACCCTCCAGAATAACTATTTTGGAGGGCATTTTGGCAATATGTACCACTCCTGGGAATTCTTCCCATGGAAGTAATTTAAAGAGCTAAAAGCTCACTGGTAGAAAACTGTGCTGCCCAAGACAGTAAGAACTAATTAACATGTGGCTACTGAGCCCTTGAAATGTGGCTAGTCTCAGTTAAGATGTCTTGTGTCAGATACACACCAAATTTGAAGACTTAGTTTGGGATTGTAAGCTGTTAATAATAATATTAAAATATTGATAATGTTTTAATATTGATTACATGTTGAAATGTTACTAATTTGGATATATTAGGATAAATAAAAAGTATTAAAAATTTTTAAAAAGAACTAAGAGCTGTGAAAATGAAGATGTTTATAATAGTGTTATTAATAATTTCAAATACCTGGAAACAGTCAAATACATAAAGTAAATCATGATTTTATGATTGAATATGAAGCAAATAAAAAATATGATTGTGTATAGAAACTTGGAAGATGATTTATGAAAAAGTAGAAAACAGTACTAAATAAGGTATATTCTAATTGCAGCTATGTAGCATTCAAGCTACATCATCAGATATTTGTGAACGGTGGTAATTTATGGCTATTTATTTTAATAATTTATAATATTTTAAATTTGATTAAAAAATAAAGCCTCCTTTTAAAACAGTATATATCCTTGAGAAGTAATATTTGTCACTCCAGCTGAGGTTTTATTTTTAATAAAAATAGAATGCTGAAAAAGGGTAATAATTAAGCCTGCCATTAATGTATTCCTTTCAACAGTAAAGTTAGAGTAAAATCGTATGTATATGTACTCCCAGCTGTTTGAATTTTGCTGTTTCCTAGTAAGACATTATAAATCTAATAATTCTAGAAATCTGGATCATTTCCTAGCAATAAATAGCACATGTTAACATACACTAAATTTCAGAGGTCCATTTAATAGCATAAAGCCTGTTTGACAATTTAGGGTTTTAGAATTAGCTTTTATATAAAACTATAAATTTAAAAACAAGGGACAGAAAGATGAGATCATTGTTAACGAACTCTTAAAATAGGAAGTTGTAGTGAGGTGCCAACTTCAAAATAGCAACTCCACAAAATGATTTTTTTTAAGCTTATAACACTAAAACTTTCAACTGTTTTCCCAAAACCCAAAGCTATGAACTACATTATTGTCCTGTTCCTTATGAAACACACATTGCCAGCAATTCTGTGTTCTTCAGACCTGTGTTCTGATTTGGGCAGTCTATACAGTAGAGTAGAAAGTCTTAGGATTGCACAAAACCAACACAGAAAATGCTTCTTTAAAAGGAGAAAGTATGTTTGGTGTATCAACATTTGTTATTTTAAGGTAACTATGAATTCTAGATAAAATATAACTAATTATTAAAGTACATCTTCACAAAATGAATTACTTTTTTGGGGGAATTTCACAACTGAAAATTGCTGACAGAAGAAAAGTAGACAACCGTCACACACCACACACAGAAATCACTCGAAATGGATGAAAGACTTAAATTTAAGACCTGAACCCATACAGTCCCCTAGAAGAAGGTCCCTTGACATCAGTCTTGGTGATGATTTTTTTGGATCTGACTCCCTTTGCTCCAGCCCTCACCCTCTCTGTCGGTGCAGGTACATGCATGATGTGTGAGGACCATACCCCTTTCCACCTTGGCAGATGGGAATCTGTTCCTGAGCCAGTTTTCTTGGTGGTCCATGGAATAAGTGTAGAATAAGCATCTAAGAATGGGCATTATTTTGAGATATTTGTACAAGATGGTATGGTAATTCAGTGTCAAACAGTATATATTAGAATTTGGAGGTATCATCACAAATAGTGTTCTTTACCATTTTAGTAGGAAACTGCAACTAGCAAGGCTAATGAATGATGTCATTTCTATCACATACAGGTAATATTAGCTTCAGGCTATTTTGCAGTGTTCAGAGTCAAACTTACTGCAAAAAAACTGGAAGGGATTCATGATGGAGCCATACAGATCACCACAGACTATGAGGTAAAGACTACGGGGATTCATGTCAATGAGGTTTTTCTAATAATTCAGTCTCTTTTTTGTTGTTTTTATGGAAACAACTAAGTTTACTGATAAAGTTATAGTTTACTTGTCTCATACCTTAAAAACTGAACTTTTGAGAATAGTTTACAAGATCTTGGTGTTCATTAGCTCCTAGTTTTCTCATAAAACCCAAAACCTCTTAACTAAAAACTTCAGAAAAATGGCTTTGACAGCAATCAGACAACAAAAAGAAATAAAAGGCATCTGAATCGGCAAAGAAGTCAAACTCTCACTCATTGCAGATGATATGATACTTTATGTGGAAAACCCAAAAGACTCCACCCCAAAACTGCTAGAACTCATATAGGAATTCAGTAAAGTGGCAGGATATAAAATCAAGCACAGAAATCATTTGCATTTATATACACCAACAACAAGACAAAAGAAAGAGAAATTAAGGAGTCGATCCCATTTACAATTGCACCCAAAACCATAAGATACCTAGGAATAAATCTAACCAAAGAGGCAAAAAATCTGTACTCAGAAAACTGTAAAATACTCATGAAAGAAATTGAGGAAGACACACAGAAATGGAAAAACGTTCCATGCTCATGGATTGGAAGAACAAATATTGTGAAGATGTCAGTGCTACCTAGAGCAGTCTACACATTCAAAGCAATCCCCATCAAAATACCATCCACTTTTTTCAAAGAAATGGAACAAATAATCCTAAAATTTATATGGAACCAGAAAAGACCCCGAATAGCCAGAGGAATGTTGAAAAAGAAATGCAAAGCTGGCGGCATCACAATTCCGGACTTCCAGCTCTATTACAGAGCTGTCATCAAGACAGTATGGTACTGGCACAAAAACAGACACATCGATCGGTGGAACAGAATATAGAGAACCCAGAAATGGACCCTCAACTCTATGGTCAACTAATCTTCGACGAAGCAGGAAAGAATGTCCAATGGAAAAAAAGACAGTCTCTTCAACAAATGGTGTTGGGAAAATTGGACAGCCACATGCAGAAGAATGAAACTGGACCATTTCCTTACACCACACACAAAAACAGACTCAAAATGGATGAAAGACCTAAATATGAGACAGGAATCCATCAAAATCCTTGAGGAGAACACAGGCAGCAACCTCTTCGACCTCAGCCACAGCAACATCTTCCTAGAAACATCGCCAAAGGCAAGGGAAGCAAGGGTGAAAATGAACTATTGGGTCTTCATCAAGATAAAAAGCTTTTCCACAGCAAAGGAAACAGTCAACAAAACCAAAAGACAGCCGACAGAATGGGAGAAGATACTTGCAAATGACATATCAGATAAAGGGCTAGTATCCAAAATCTATAAAGAACTTACCAAACGTAACACCCAAAGAACAAATAATCCAGTCAAGAAATGGGCAGAAGACATAAACAGACATTTTTCCAAAGAAGACATCCAAATGGCCAACAGACACATGAAAAAGTGCTCAACGTCACTCGGCATCAGGGAAATCCAAATCAAAACCTTAGTGAGGGCGCCTGGGTGGCTCAGTTTGTTAAGCGACTGCCTTTGGCTCAGGTCATGATCCTGGATTCCCTGGATTGAGTCCTGCATTGGGCTCCCTGCTCGGCAGGGAGTCTGCTTCGCCCTCTGACCCTCCCCCCTCTCGTGTGCGCTCTCTCTCTCTCTCTCATTCTCTCTCTCTCAAATAAATAAATAAAATCTTTAAAAAAAAAAAAAAACTCAATGAGATACCACCTCACACCAGTCAGAATGGCTAAAATTAACAAGTCAGGAAACGACAGATGTTGGCAAGGATATGGAGAAGGGGGAACCCTCTTACACTGTTGGTGGGAATGCAAGCTGGTGCAGCCACTCTGAAAGACAGTACGGAGGTTCCTCAAAAAGTTGAAAATAGAGCCACTGTACGACCCAGCAGTTGCACTACTGGGTATTTATCCCAAAGATACAAATGTAGGGATCCAAAGGGGTACGTGCACCCCAACGTTTATAGCAGCAATGTCCACAATAGCCAAACTATGTAAAGAGCCAAGATGTCCATCAACAGATGAATGGATAAAGAAGATGTGGTATATAATACAATGGAATATTACTCAGCCATCAAAAAAATGAAATCTTGCCATTTGCAGCGATGTGGATGGAACTAGAAGGTATTATGCTAAGCAAAATAAGTCAATCAGGGCGCCTGGGTGGCTCAGTTGGTTAAGCGACTGCCTTCGGCTCAGGTCATGATCCTGGAGTCCCAGGATCGAGTCCCACATCGGTCTCCCTGCTCAGCAGGGAGTCTGCTTCTCCCTCTGACCCTCTTCTCTCTCGTGCTCTCTATCTCTCATTCTCTCTCTCTCAAATAGATAAATAAAATCTTAAAAAAAAAAAAAAAAATAAGTCAATCAGAGAAAGACATGTATCATATGATCTCACTGCTATGAGAAATTCTTAATCTCAGGAAACAAACTGAGGGTTGCTGGAGTGGTGGGGGGTTGGAGGGATGGGGTAGCTGGGTGATAGACATTGGGGAAGGTATGTACTATGGTGAGTGCTGTGAATTGTGTAAGACTGATGAATCACAGACCTGTACCTCTGAAACAAATAATACATTATGTGTTAAAAAAAAAAAAGATGATAGTAGGAAGGGGAAAATGAAGAGGGGGAATCGGAGGGGGAGACAAACCATGAGAGACTGTGGACTCTGAGAAACAAACTGAGGGTTCTAGAGGGAAGGGGGTTGGGGAGATGGTTTAGCCTGGTGATGAGTATTAAAGAGGGCATGTATTGAATGAAGCACTGGGTGTTATACATAAACAATGAATCATGGAACACTACATCAAACTAGTGATGTATTGTATGGTGATTAACATAACATAAATAAAATTTAAAAAAAAGAAAAATGGCTTTGGCACATTTATAATTGCTCTGTTAGAAACCTGCTTACACATAGTTATAGCATTGCACAGATCCTGACTGAAATTCCTGAATGAGATCACTGATTCTTCTGCAATCATTAATATACTCCTGTGTAATATTTCCAAAAAGGAAAATAAAAATCAAGAAATCACATCTTAATTTGAGTTCTTATTATTGTATTTACATGAGTCATTCTAGGTCAAGGGCAGAGTGAAGATCATTGAGCTTTTGAAAGACTCTTTGTGGTGTTTAACATGTTGCATTCCATGAGATTTTTGAACGGATATATTTCTGCCACACTTAAGTGTTTTAATTTATTATTTAAAAGTTGCTTCCACTGGTCTCCTGTTTTCAGCACATACAAGTCCCACATGAAAGAAAGCTAATTCAGAATAAAGAGAACTAGTCGTTTAATAATAATAATGTATGTAAATAATAAGTAATAATAATAGATTTGTTAGGAGTGTGTCAAATTAATTGCCTCCAGAAGTGAAAAATTCATGTTGATCACTCATGAGAAAAATAAGTACATTTCATAGCTAAGACAAATTTTTGTTAGTATGGATAAAAATGAGAATTAGAAAAAAATATCTTAAGTATCTCTGTGAGTTACATACAGAGTGAGTTGATATTCAACATCTATAATGTTCAACTCATTTTTAAATTAAGTTGATGTTAATTTATTGCTGCATACAAAAACTACAGAACTGTATAACTCTAGAAAATGCTAAGTGTCACATAGTTTTAGGAGTACAATTTGACTTTCTTTGTTAAATTAATAGTCTACAAAATAACCTATGTTATGAAAAATCTATTCTTCATTCCTTCCCCATTGTGTCGTCTTACCATGTTTTCAATGAATCACTGAAAAATACATAGAAATGTATTTAGAGCATTTTATGGAGTACATTGATTAAATTAAACAGTTTTCATGGGTAATTTTAATGTTTTTGAGTTAGTTATTGCTAATATAAGTCCCAAGATGACTTTTTTTACATCCTCAAAAATAATGCAGTAATGGTCAAAGATCAATCTCAGACTTAAACACTTATTTCTATGGTCTGCTTCTTCACTCCACAGATCCTAACAATTCCTGTGAAGGCTGTAATTGCAGTGGGTTCGCTGACTTGCTTCCCAAAACATATGGTTCTTCCACCTTCCTTTCCAGTAAGAGATTTAATTTATAGACTTTTTTTTATAATTTTTTTTCTTTGCCTTTACCTCTGTGTTCCTAGAATCCAACAGTAAAGTCAGTTATTCTTTATTCAGAGCTTATTTTAAGGTAAGACATTGAACCAGGTTCCATAGGAGGTATAAAGAGGAATAAGAAATAGTCCCTTCTTTCAAAAAGTTTTCTATCTAGATTGGGAAATGAGCCAGTGATTCATAAATGAAAAGCAGGATGTAGAAATTACCCTAAAAGGTGTAAAAATGAAGTGCCGTGAGTGAAATACACATGTAGTTGATGAAGGTGCATGTGAGCTGCCTTAGAATTTCTTTTGGCAAGATAGATAGGGATGGTAAGAACTTGCATCAGGTCCCTGGAATCAACCTGAAGGCACAGAGGCAGTAAAGTCTGAGATGGCTTTACATGGCAGTGAGTTGCCCAGTTTGACAATAGAGGGAAATTTTAAGAGAAGGTGAAATGACATGTTGGAGTGATAGCACGAAAAAAACAATTAATGCATTTAGTCCATGAAAATCTAAAGTTTTTAAACAGAGGCTTGACATCATTAGAGCTGAGCTTTAAACACTGTTTCTCTGGCAGAAGTAAATATAGGGTGCACAAGGAAGTGATAGTAGAGTGCCTGAGGCCAATTCAGGGACTCTGTTCATACTCCATATGAGTAGTGTCAAGAGGATGTTTGAGCTTAGGGCATTGGCAGAGGCAGTAAAGCCCTTTCATACCTCTAAGCCTTGGCTGTTAGTCTGTCTTGAATGCCCTTCTTCTTCCCCTACTGTCAGAGAACTATGCATCTTCCAAGATTCAATTCCATGTCATCTCCTCTCTGAAGATTTCTTGACTACACTAGATAGTTACTAAGTGTTACATGTGTGATCTTGGGATGATTTTAAATTACTCTCTTATAGCAGGACTCACATGTGCTTTAAATATGGCCTTATGTGTTGGTCTTCCCAGTGAGACTGAGATCCTCTAGGAAAGGGATAAGGGATCTTTTATCCCCAAAGCAGGCAGTTAGTAGGTAATGAGTGGATGAAGGAGCAAAATAATGGAAAAGAGAGCTTAGGCAAGAGACATTTCAGATTTGAACTGTTCTTGAATATCCTGACAAGGACCTACTAATTGAAGCAGGTATGGGTAGGGTAGATAGAGTCAAAAATATGACTTAGAGTTTGAACCTAGAGAATAAAGAGAAGAGAAATGGGGAAACCAAGAGACCACCACAGCCTTTTGCAGGAAGGTGCTGTGGTCAGTTCAGGAGACTTGGGGCAAATGTAGAAGTGTCCCTTACCCTGTGGAAGGAGATGTGGTGGGTTATGAGAAAACAGTACGTTGTAAAAATCTTAATATTATATACAATAAAACCTAAATTTAAAAGATCAATTTTGGGTTCATAGGTTCAGCATATTTGATTAATTAAATCTTTGTCTTGTCATTCCACTTTGCACTGACTATATGGAACTCAACTTCGTTATTCAAAAAGACCTTGTTCCTTTCTTCAGCTGCCTTTTCAATCAATGATCTCCTTAAACACAGCATAAATCCTGGAAGGGAATAATTCAGTAGATGACACAGTGAAAGGCCCATTAATGGTAAATCAGAAAGCATCTGTATAAAAACAAGGTGTTGATTTTGAGCAGAGTAGGATCAACTTTTAGATATCCTCAGATGGCTTGCATTACCAGATTATTTATTTAGAATCACAAATTAACTTGATGTTACTGCCTTAGTCAGGCTGTTACAACAAATTACCATAGACTAGGTGGCTTAAACAACAAGCATTTATTTCTCACAGTTCTGAATGCGGGGAAGCCCAAGATCAAAGCACCGAGCAGATCCCGTGCACCTGTCTATGGGTGTATCGGTGAGGGCATTCTCCCTGGTTTTGCAAATGGCTGTCTTCTCACTATATCCTCACATAACCAGAAGAGCAGGGAGGCAGGGCAAGCTCTTTTGTCTCTCCTTTTAAGGTCATTAATCCCATTCATTAGGATGAGATTATGACCTAATCACCTCCCAAAAGCCCCACCTCTAATACTATTACGATGAGGGTTAGAATTTCAACATATGAATTGGGAGGGGGGTTCACATTCATTCCATAACAGTCACCAGATTCTGTAAAATCTCTTGTCCAGTGGAGTATACTAGCGCCAATTGAAGCATACAATACATCCAAATTAGCATTTCAGGTACTCGTAGTTTAATACTTGATATTTGAATACCATCGTAAAATGAACTTTTGTATCTGTTACCTCTTTTGACCCACCCATCCGGCCACGCGCGCACACACACACGCACGCACACGCACACACACACTCCTGAGAGACAAGGCATGGACTTGAGCAAAATGATTATTACCGGTGCATGCCATGAAGACACAGCTGGTTAGATGTCAGGCTTGGGCTATTTATTTATTTGACAGAGTGAGACACAGCGAGAGAGGGAACACAAGCAGGGGGAGTGGGAGAGGGAGAAGCAGGCTTCCCGCTGAGCAGGGAGCCCAATGCAGGGCTCGAACCCAGGACCCTGGGATCATGACCTGAGCCGAAGGCAGACGCTTAATGACTGTGGCACCCAGACACCCCAATGAGTGTTACTTTTAACCTCACTCTCATTCAACTCTTTTTTCTGTGCACTCTCTTTAATTTCTGTGTCTTCTAATACCAGATATTAGCCCAGTGGGTATGGTCACTTTCGAGACTTCTTCGAATGACTGGGGATCAGATTATAAGATAAAATTCTGTACTCAAAAGAAAGTAAAGATTATAATATAATTCTTATTGTGGATTATTTAAATCATTTAATTTTTTACTTAAAATTTGATACCCTATCATAGGGAGAAGCATGCAGCTGATTAAGAGCAATCATTGCTCATCTGGTGATTTAATCTGTCTGCTGTGTTAATAAGATATTTGATAACCTGTATTTTTAGAAGATGTTTAATTTCTTTTTGGCACAAATGATATTTTTCTTTTAAAAAGAAAATACTTCTAAGTAAAATAAATCTGTTGTTTTTTTTTTTTTTGTCTTGTTTGGCTTTTGATTTTAGAACTAAATTATTTCATCGTGAATTTGGATACTTTGAGGGCAGTCTGGCCTTGGCATAAACAAACCTTGCTTAACAAACTGACATTGACCATTTCCTTTATTCAGAGCTATCTCTGTTTTTACCTTTGTTGGCGGCCTCATTATTTTAACATCAAATGTGAATGTTTTTCTTACTTTCTTATTTAATTTCATTTTCACAAGATTACAGAGATTTGTCCTGCTAATTTTTGTATAACAGGCCGTGAAAACGACAAATATATATATACACACACACACACAGAGATAAGTATAGATATATTTGAGAGGGCTCTGATTACAAAATTAGAGATTATCAAGTGATAAAAATTCTAAGTGTCTTTTGGGGTTTGGTTTCTGAAAAATATGTCAGCTCTAAATTGTGTGTTCTTAAGAAAATCCAACCATATACTAATGAGTTTGTTTGTTTGTTTTCTTCAGGGGAAAATAGTTCATCAAAGCTTAAATATTATGAATTCCTTCTCACAGAAGGTAAAGATACAACAAATACGATCTTTGTCAGAAGATGTGCGATTTTACTACAAACGATTACGGGGCAATAAGGAAGACTTGGAGCCAGGAAAAAAGTCAAAGGTTTGAGAACGTTGTATTTGAGGATTCCCATCTGTTAGTATTGTGTTACTGTGACCTTCTGTGGATTTGGGATTCACGGTTCTCCTGTGCCTCTTTGTAGATTGCAAACATTTATTTTGATCCTGGACTGCAGTGTGGGGATCATTGCTATGTTGGCTTGCCTTTTCTATCCAAATGTAAGTTAACTTGCTGTTCTCTCTCATCCCCTTCACTCCACCCAAAATATTCTTTGATGAAAGGCTGCCACTTTTAAAGTCCATCTCTATCCCTTGGTACTATGGAAATCATCTGAGGGGAAATTGACAAGTGGTTATAGATTATAGGGCTGAGTTTGTCATAATATATGTTTCCTTGTTTTAGCTGAACCCAAAGTACAGCCTGGTGTAGCCATGCAGGAAGACACTTGGGATGCTGACTGGGATTTGCATCAAAGCCTATTCAAAGGATGGATGGGAATAAAGGAAAATTCAGGTCATAGGTGGGTGGTTTTACTTTAAGTATGTTTAGCTATCTTTACAAGTTTGAAATGTCTCTGTTGATACTACTTTCTAAATGTTACTCTTAAATTAGGTTCTTTTACTTCTCTATAGCTAAGAAAATAACGCCTCATCTTCAGGAAATTATTAATAAGGCATCTTGAATTGCCATTTTAATTGCATGTTGCTCAGAAATATACACACAACCATTTTTCTCTTTTCTCCCGTGCTCTAGATACTTCCTTAAAATCAAAGAACTATTTGAAGTTATCTTTATAGAGGATGCATACGCTGTGCACCTTAGATACAGCCATTTGCATAAGAAAGTTTTTACCTACCACTGACCTCTGGTAAAGGCAAAGAAAACATTTCCTAGGTTTAAGTCTGCGATGGAGACCAAGTGTCCATTTGCTCATTGTGAGAAGAACTGCCTCCTCCCTTTCTAAGTGCTGAGCCCTTAGGGGGCACCCAGAGCCCAGTTCACTAAGGCTCAACCATATGTCATTGGCAGGCAGAAAACATGCTAATGACAAATCACTACCACACCTGGATTCAAAAGCAGAAACACACTTCCTCAGCGCTGTAGAAGTACGATCTTTCTTATGCCCCAGAAGAGAATTTGATTAGAATATTGATAATAACTGAGAAAACTGATCTTCTTCACTTGGCTAATTTGAATGTATTTATCAGTATCAAAATAATTTATAGGACTATAAATTTTTCAAACCATTAGTGATTGAACCTGAGGGTTTCATTTATCTGAACTACTATCTCCTATCAAAAGTTTTCTTAAGGCAAAAGAGTTAAATTTCTACTTTAAAATGGTGAAATAAGTAGAGAGAGACCTCTAATGAACTCAGTAGTTCTTGATCCCCTACATTTCCATTACAGACCTTACCATGTATAGACAGTCTCCAAATGTTAACATTATGAATAGATAACTTAGAGCATTGCTGAGGAACCTCTTCACCTCCCACCCACTAAAACCTGTACCTTCCTTCTTGTGTGCCCACCACTCCACAGCCAAGAAGCTGGGCTTCCCGTCTGCCCCATAGCATCATGTCCCAGGTGCACAGTGACTGTGTCATTCTCCCTGCTCCTGCCTTTGTGTTACCTTGTCACTGTGCATGTTACAGAGAACATCTGTTTCTGCCTTATTAAACCTGTACTCTTACCAATATTAGAGTATCACAATTCAGTAGTAATGTGGGTTAAAGTAGGCTTCAGTGTTTGGGCCCAGGGACCTTAGCCCTGTGTGTAATATTGTTTCCTTATGGAATATGTTCTTGAGCTCTAAACATCTGGCTTATGAATACTGGTAAGTAGGGAAATATTCAAATGAGATCCTGAATATTGCTGATAACTTTACATATATCTGCACAAAACCCTCATATATATTACCACTTCAGCTGACATCTTCATTGCATATCAAGATTTTCCTTCATTTTTTTTTTTTTTTTTTACCTCCTGGGGAAAAAGACATATGCACTGCCTTCTCATAAGTTCTGCTGATGAATATTCATCAGGACCCTGTTGTTGGTGTCTAGGTCTTTGCACTAGCCTGCAAGATCCTTTAGGATCCCTTAACACCATATGTTACCTATATGTGCCTGCCTTGTCCTTCACATATTCAGTACAAAAACAACACAGATGATGAATGATAGAGACTTTGGCACCTCCTTGTGCCAAAACAGAGACATCTTTATACATGTCTATTAAAAGCATAATAAAATGTCAAAACAAATAAACCTGTACTTATTCAGGGCCAGAATAAAATTTCTCAAGTATACAAGCCTAATAGTATTTCTTCTATTCAAAAAACTCAAATATTTCATTTTGATATAGTAACTAACAAATAATTTTTTTCTAGATTGAGCGCTTTATTTGAAGTAAATACAGACCTTCAAAAAAATATACTATCAAAAATCACTGCTGAGCTCTCCTGGCCTTCTATAATTAGCTCACCCCGGCACTTGAGATTTCCACTTACTAATACAAACTGCTCCTCAGTAAGTATTCAGAGTGACACTGATTTTTGGAAATTCATAATAGTGCTATAAAGTATCTACTCTTACTTTTAACTGTGGAAACCTTTCATTTACTGTTTTGTTAACTCTGTTTAAGGAAGAAGAGATTACTTTAGAAAATCCTGCAGATGTTCCTGTCTATATTCAATTTATTCCTCTGGCTTTATATTCGAATCCTTCAGTCTTTGTAGATAAGTTAATATCAAGGTAAGCACTGCTTTAAATAAAATGTTCTATATTAGCATTGAATCCTTATTTTACACATTTAAAAACTTTATTGAAGCTTATACAGTAATAGATTGGGCTTAGAGAAATTCTAGATCCATAATTAAAATTAAGAGGAGGTTCTGGGGGAAGATAGTGATAATGTGTTAAGTATCTAGAAGAGTTTTCAGTTTAAGACAAGAAAAAGTAATGTTGAACTCCTTTCTAAAAAAAAATTTAAAAAGTGAAAGATTGTAAAGAGAAAGCAAGTGTAACCTTTTAAATATTTTAGTTTTAAAAAATGAACAAGGGGCGCCTGGGCGGCTCAGTCGTTAAGCATCTGCCTTCTGCTGAGGTCATGATCCCAGGGTCCTGGGATCGAGCCCCGCATCGGGCTCCCTGCTCCACGGGAAGCCTGCTTCTCCCTCTCCCACTCCCCCTGCTTATGTTCCCTCTCTTGCTGTGTCTCTCTGTCTGTCAAATAAATAAATAAAATCTTAAAAAAAAAATTTTTTTAATAAAAATAAAAAATGAACAAAATATTAACTATAAGTTGTGGCCTCTAATTTTTGGAAGGCTATTCATCTGATAATATTGACCTCAGAATCTGCCAAAAGGTAATTTGCAAATAAAGTACAAACTTGATAATTACTCTACCCTTTAATTATGATGCTGTTTATGAAGAAATATATGTACTTTTTTTTATTTTAGGTTTAACTTGAGTAAGGTGGCAAAGATTGATTTAAGAACACTAGAATTCCAAGTCTTTAGAAACAGTGTAAGTATGCAAGCTTCATACTATCCCAAAGAAATAACTCTGATATGATCAGTGCAAATGTGGAGGAAAACTACTGACTTATCCTTAAATTTGGCTGAAGGGCAAGTTACTGAAGAAGCCAGAGCAGTCCAATAATTATTTTAGAGGCAAAAAAACCCAGGAGGAATGGATGGGATTTAGATCAACATGAGGCACACTGGGTAGAAGGTTCCTGTTTGTAGGCATCACTCCTTGAGTCCATAAAGGTTTATAATAATAGCTACCAGAAACCCTGAGAATATATAAATGAGGTATATATTAACATAATTTATTTTTATTAAGCTTCAAAATATTGAGCTTGATCATTTAAATGTTTATTTTGAATACTTCCAAATAAAATTGTAAGCTCCGTTAATGCCAGACCCATAGTTGTTGAACAGATTAAACAAACTCATGGGAAGCCCTTCAAATGGTTTCTTGGTGTGTAGGAAGACTGTGGTGAATGCTGACTAGATAAGTCAGTCTGTGGCTAAGTAGTTCAGGAAAGAAGAGCAGTGGGAAGGTTTCCAGTATTTGGGAGCTGTATTGAAGAATGCTTCCCAGTATTGCATGAGCATCTAGTATGTGTCAGCATTATACCAGGTACATTCACATTTATAATTTCATGTAATCATTACAAGCAGCCAGGCTGAGCAATTACTAACGATCCCAAGAGGTAAGTATTTCTTTGTTCTGTTCCTGGGGAAAAACAAAGCTCAGGAAAAGGAAGGAACTTGCTCAAGTTCATACCTGTGATAACTGGCAGGGCCAAATTCAAGTCTAGTTCTCTCAGATCCCAGAGCCCTCGCCCATACTGTCAGGCCACATGGTCATTGCTGATTAGGAGTCCCTAATTAGCCTGTCAAACCAGATATTCTATAGTTCTTGAAATACTTGTGTTCCTTCCCATAGTTTTGTGTTTTAGTCTGTAAGGCATGTATTAGCTAAACCTTTGTAGAATAGTAGGTTTTTATACTGTGTGTAAGTCAATTTTGTATAAGAAAGTAATTTTCCGTATATCTTTTTTCTGCCAAATAATGGAACACCAGACTGAAATGTAGACAGTCATATATTCTAGTCTCATGCCCTTCTCTTGGAATCTTTTCATGGTCGGTTTTTTTCCATGCATAAAATGACAACCTAATAAGCTCAAAGTTTTCTAGATTCCAAATCATTAGAAAGCTCAATAACCAGAAATTCCTTTCGCTCTGCTTTTATAAGGGAGGAAATACACATAAGTAAATGAGCTAATATTTACCTTTTTTCTTATCAAATACAAGTTCTTTAGTGTTATTTACAAGGTATAAAACACTGAAGTGTTGTAGGCACTATGAGAAGTAGGAAGATGAATAAGAATACTCTAGATCTCAGAAATGTATTTTAAATATGAAATTCTAGGTCTTAGGGTAAAGTCAGGATAAATTCTATCACAGTTATCTATAGTGGTTATAAAACCTATGGTTTTCAAAGTATTTGGTCTCAGGACTCCTTTACAGTCTTAAAATTATTCATGACTCTGAAGAGGTTTTTTGTTCATGTGGGTTACATCTATCAGTATTTACCATATTAAAAATTAAAACTGAGAGATCTTTTCTACAAAAGGTATATGAAAAGATGTTCAACATCATTAGTCATTAGGGAAATGCAAATTAAAACCACTATAAGATATCATCTCACACCTGTTAGAATGGCTATTATCAAAAAGACCGGATATAACAAATGCTGGTGTGGATGTGGAAAGCAGAGTAGGAATATAAGTTGGTACAACCACTGTGGAAAACAGCATGGAGGATCCTCAAAAAATTAAAAATAGAACTACCATATGAGCCAGCCATTCCACTTCTGGGAATATATCCAAAGGAAACAAAAACACTAACTCAAAAAGATATCCGCACCCCCATGCTCATTGCAGCATTATTTATAATAGCCAAGGTATGGAAAAAGTCTTTTAAGTGTCCATCAATGAGTGAATGGTTAAAGAACTTGTAGTGAGAGTGTGTGTGTATGTGTATGTGTACACACACATACACAATGGAATGTTATTCAGCCAAAAAAAACAAGGAAATCCTACCATTTATGACAACATGGAGGACCTTGAAGGTATTATGCCAAGTAAAATAAGCAGAGAAAGGCAGTACTGTATCTCACTTATATCTGGAATCTAAAAAAGAAAAAAACCCAAACTCCTAGAAAAAGAGATTAGACTTGCAGTTACCAGAGGTAGAGGGGTGAGGGGAGAGGGAATTGGAGAGAAGTGGTCAAAAGGTATAAACTTCCAGGTACAGGACGAGTAAGTGCTAAGGATATGATGTACAACATGTTGACTAGAGCACTGCTGTATGATAGTTGTTAAGAGAATAATACTAAGAGTTCTCATCACGAGAAAATTTTTTTCCTTTTATTCTTTTTTCATTCTTTTCTTTTCACTGTATCTGTATAAGAAGGTGGATGCTGGCTGAACCTGTTGTAGTAATCATTTTACAATATATGTAAATGAGACCATTGTGTCTTAAACTTATACAGTGATATATGTCAATTATTTCTCAGAACTGGGAAAAAACTGAGAGATCTTTAAAATATTGATTTAATTCATATAAAGTAATAATAATAAATTCACTCCATTTAACATCGATAACATAAAAATTTAAAATAACTGTATTTCCCCAAAAAGACTTTTTGCAAGAAGAGCAGATTGTTTTACATTTTTACAGATCTTTTTAATGGTTCTCGGACCTAATACACAGATTCCCACTGCTTCTACATTTAGTTTCTCATGATTTATTTTTTTGGTTGAAGTATATGAGAAATATCTGACCTGACCTGGCACAGATATATAGTTACAAAAAAAGAGTATCTTAATTGCCTTTTTAATTAATTCTAACAGCATGCGTCATTTGGAAAATACTGGTTCACCAAGATGTGCAGAACTTCCAAATGTTGACATGATTCACTCTACAAAATCCCAAAAAATCATATTCAGTTGTTTTTCCTTAATTGGACAGATGTACTTCATTTTTGTGAAAATGTCTACCAAATACCCAAGTCTGAACAGCCACAGATTGACTGTCAGTCATTCGTTCAACTCTACATGGTTTTCCATGAGAAAAACAGCTGTAATTCAGTTTGCATCTCAAATGGTAGCTTTTCAAGACAACATGGTGCTTCAGTAGGCAGCAGGAGTGCTTTATGCATACTTCCCATTTTATCAGACAATACTAAAAATGCACATGCCCAAGGTTGAGATTTATTAAGATTAATATCGTTAACTGCTTAATCAGTAAGAATTTTTTTTTACAAGTACATGGCAGTGAAGAAGACAGTAGCTATAGGGAAGTTAGATACCACTGCCTTACTTTAAGCTGAAGGGTCAGTTGTTTTACCCGCCATTGATTTTGCTGACCACTGGTGCAAATGTCAACACAGTAGAAAGGGCAGATAGCATCTGTCAGTGTTATGAAGGTAACTTTGACATCATGGATATCCTGAAAAGATTTTGAGATCCCTGGGGGCCCCATTGGTCACTCTCTAAAGAGTCACTGCTACAGAATTACTGAGAATCAGTTGAGGCCTTAATGATATCCCTGAGGCATCACAACATCCTCAAATATTTGCCAAGTCATCAGAGTTTAAATTGCTAGTGTTTATTGGGAATATATGTAGAGTATATAATGTGTCCATCAATTACTCAGAATAGTTTATCTTAAAGAGAACTTAACTGACCAGCCATTTTGGAGCAGTCAGGATATTCTATTATCCTAGTAGACATTGACAGAGAAGAATGTTAGATGCAGAAGAAAATGTTTTGCCTCAGAAGCATGAGTTAAAAAGTAGTGGCTTCATTAAGTCTATTGACTGTAAGTTATGTTTGTAGAATCATGCTAACACAGGTAGGTAGATTATATGTTTTAAACCTAACTATGCCAAGTGGAGCTGAAAGTCATGCAAACCTCACTCCCCTTCCACATGTTAGCAGAGCTGTGAAGAGCCCTGGACATTTGTAGCCAAGTGTTGCCAGCCCTCCCCCCAAAAAAAGTTTAAACTTAATGTTGCTTAAAAATTAGAACAGTGTATTCTTAAGTGTGAACTATGATATTTTTAATAAAAAATGAATACTTAAATCTTATCTGTAACTGGCTGTCAAGAAGCCATCTTTTGGTTATTAAACTAAGCTCTTATTTAACTTTCAGTCATAAAGTGTTAAACAGTAATTATGTGCTGAGCTTTCAAAATAAAATTCAAAGGTAGATTGATACAAGTTGGAAATATTTTTACAAATAAAAAAAAATCTAAGACACCCTGAAGACCCTTCAGCTGATACCCATCAGAGGGGGAAGGAGCAGGAAAACTGGCTGAAAGTGGGAACAGCAACCATAGGACTTCGGGGTGCTGAGTGCTGGTTGTACACCTGTTTGCTTTGTGCTAAAACATTGAGCTGTGCTTCTTAGCTTTGTGTCCTTTTTATATATGTGTATTACATTTCAAAATTTTTTAATGTTAAAAGTAAAAAGATTTCTATACAAAAACAAATGCTAGTACAAATAATGAGGACTTTGGTGATGTGGGGATCAAAGCCCTTTTGGGGACTTAATGCACAATGAGAAGGATCATCACTGGTTGCCCACTTCTGTTTGCAAGGTAACCAGTATCTAAATCATGAGGGGTAAAATTGTTCACACATTTAATCAATTTAGGAAATTAGTACTGGACTGTGGGTGGGGTAAAGTATAAAACTTCTATCCAGAGAATATAGTAGTAACTTCTGTTGTTTACCCAATGATTCAAGGCTCATCCACTGCAGAGTTCAACAGGATTTACAGAAGGCCTCTCTCGACATTCAATTTTAAACCTAATTTTAAAACCTGGAGAAAAGAAATCTGTCAAAGTAAAGTTTACTCCAATTCACAACAGAACTGTTTCTTCGCTAATCATAATCAGGTAGGTTCTGTAATTTAAGTGTGCATTGATTTTTATTACTTTTTCAGAAGTCCTTACTTGATTTGTTTTAATATGTGTTTGTGTGTCTACTTTATTTAATAGGGTATTCACTCTGTCCAAAACACACACACAACATACCACACCTGATGAAAGTACCTCTGTGATTACGTTTATAACTTGAAAACCTGAATAGTGTTCTTACTGTACCATATGTGACTCTTAAAAATGAAAAACTCTTGCTTCTCTCTGTGTAAAGATTTTTAAATTCTTAAAGTGTAAATGTTTCATCACTCTGAAGTTTAGTATATTCACTTCTACATGGTTTATTTAAAAAAAGTAAAAAATATTGATCAATTATCTATAATTTATTTATGTGAATTTATAATTTATTATGCAAATTTAATGGAGGAAAATTCTGTATTTCTTGCATAGAAATAACCTCACTGTGGTGGATGCTGTGATGGTCCAAGGACAAGGAACAACTGAGAACTTAAGGGTGGCAGGCAAGCTTCCAGGTCCAGGGAGTTCCTTACGCTTTAAAATCACAGAAGCATTATTGAAAGATTGTACAGATAGTAAGTATTCCTAACAGTTTCAAGGGCACAACTTTCAGTGTTCGCTTCCAAAAGTATAATTTCCCAAAAACAAACAGTATTTCTATACATGCACATGTATATATTAGTGATGAACACTTAAGATTTTTAATGAAATACCCTGACTTGCTTTCAGAGTTGTTTGATTTGGATCTTCAAAGATTTAAAGGTTCAATTTTCATTGCATGTCTTAGATGATTTACTCTGAGTATGAAAAATAAAGCATAATTCTGATATGACGAATTCTTAATCTCAGGAAACAAACTGAGTGTTGCTGGAGTGGTGGAGGGTGGGAGGGATGGGGTGGCTGGGTGATAGACATTGAGTAGGGTATGTGCTATGGTGAGCGCTGTGAATTGTGCAAGACTGTTGAATCACAGATCTGTACCTCTGAAACAAATAATGCAACATGTTAAGAAAAAAGAAAAAGAAGAAGATAGCAGGAGGGGAAGAATGAAGGGGAGTAAGTGGAAGGGGGAGACGAACCATGAGAGACGATGGACTCTGAAAAACAAACTGAGGGTTCTAGAGGGGAGGAGGGTGGGGGGATGGGTTAGCCTGGTGATGGGTATTAAAGAGGGCACGTTCTGCGTAGAGCACTGGGTGTTATGCACAAACAATGCATCATGGAACACTACATCAAAAACTAATGATGTAATGTATGGTGATTAACATAACAATAAAAATTAAAAAAAATAAAAATAAAGCATAATTAGGGGCGCCTGGGTGGTTCAGTCAGTTAAGTGTCTGCCTTGAGCTCAGATCATGATTCCAGCATCCTGGGATTGAGCCCCACGTCGGGCTCCCTGCTCAGTGAGGAGTCTGCTTCTCCCTTTCCCACTCCCCCTGCTTGTGTTCCCTCTCTCGCTATCTCTCTCTGTCAAATAAAATCTTTTAAAAAATAAAAATAAAAAAATAAAGCATAATTAAACTTTTGCTATCTAAAATGACACAACAATGTGGAGTACTTCCTGATGAAGTCTGGGTGCCAGCTAACCTCTTTGGCATGAGGAGGTGGCTCATAATGTTCGGCATATATTTATGGTGAATGTGATAATCCTTTGGACCTGCAGCACATGCCAGCAAGATTTATATTCACTCTTGATTTTCTTTCCTTTAGGTTTGAAACTAAGAGAACCAAATTTCACATTGAAAAGAACATTTAAAGTAGAGAATACAGGGCAACTTCAGATTCACATAGAATCCATTGAAGTCAGTGGGTACTCCTGTGAGGGATATGGCTTTAAAGTTGTTAATTGTCAAGAGTTTGCACTAAGCGCCAACGCCTCTAAAGACATAATCATACTGTAAGTATTTTCTTATGAGGTGTAATGAATCACTGGCTTCTCATCAACTTCAAATACTGCAGTTGTTCAAACTGTGCAAAGATATGTTTTCATATTCACAAAAAAGGTCTTTATCCACAGATATGCTCATATGATTTGTTTCCATTTAATCTTCAGTTATTTCTTCATATCTTTGTTTTCAAAATTATGAAACTTCCTATATATCCAAAGTGGACCAGATGATCTTAGAAACCGGTTTCAAAATTATTTCCAGGGTTGTGTTAAAGCATAAGGTTGTTGATAGGAAATTGATTATAAATTCAGTCTCAGTAACAGAGCGGTCCCTGCATCACACATGTGCAGTTTTTCCATGTTCTGCAGTGGAGGAATGTGTAATGTTTTGGTCAGAAGACAGTGTTAATGCCTGTATTGGGAATAGCTGTAGCCTATTTTAACAATTAATTGATAACTTGTTAGATTATAGGCTTTATGGGGCGCCTGGGTGGCTCAGTCGGTTAATCGGCTGCCTTCAGCTCAGGGGATGATCCCAGGGTGCTGGGATCGAGCCCCACGTCGGGCTCCTTGCTCAGTGGGGAGCCTGCTTCTCCCCTGCCTGCCGTTCCCCCTGCTTGTGCTTGCTCTCCCTCTCTCTGTCTCTCACTTTCGCTCTCTGCGTGTCAAATAAATAAATAAAATCTTAAAAAAAAAAAAAGATTATAGGCTTTATGTAATAAAATGTAACCTCTGTCCCCTTAATTAATAATTTCATGATCTTCAATGGACATTCAGTACGTAATGATAATACTCCCATAAGGCTTAGTGCTTGGTACCTAAAGGTACAGTAGAGAATAAAATACCTTTCTTCAAGGTGCCAGTCATCTGGTTGGAGAACGTACAGTTAACAAAAAATAAAAATAAAATAATGAGGGCAGAAAGCAGTACCACAGGAGATGAAGAGAAGATCACCAGGGCCTATGATGGTTTTTGGGGTGTGTGTGGGTGTGTGTGTGTGTGTGTGTGTGTGTGTGTGTGTGTGTGTTTAAGGCATTATTAGGAATATATCCTGAGAGACAAGAGTGGATTCAGCTAAAGGAGAAAAGAAGAGGGAGGGAGAGAAGCTCAGAGAATGCTTCCTGAATTAATAATTATGCTGTTATTCTTTTTCATGCAATTTCTCTAGTTACCAACAGAATATAGTTGTATTTGTTATTAACCTCGTAGTAGGAAAATGCTTTCTCCATCTTCAAATGAGGACGTTGAATAGAAGTACCAAACTCTAAAATTCTCTGTTAGGTTTCAAAGGTGTGTGGGACTAGTATTATATGTAAACTACTGTGGTGTATTTTTAAAACGAGTTGAACTGCCACTATTCTGTTTCAGGTTTACTCCTGATTTCACAGCTTCTAGAGTTATTCGTGAACTGAAGTTTATAACAACCAGTGGCTCTGAATTTGTATTTGTATTGAATGCATCCCTTCCATACCATATGTTAGCAACCTGTGCGGAAGCCCTACCCAGACCCAACTGGGAGCTGGCTCTGTACATCATCATCTCAGGAATCATGAGGTACTTGTGTCTTCTTTTGAGGTTGGTATTCAGGCATCACTTGACACTGTTCCTCGCGTGCCCATGGTGTGCCAGTCACTGTTCTGAATGCTGGGAATCTATCAGCAAACAACAGACCTTTTTGCCTTGATCAAGCCTGCATCTACTAGTGGGAGCAGTCAGAACTGAACCCCGCTTCAGTGGCATATACAATAAGCAAAAGTCTTCTACCTTTAAAATTTCTTATGCAAATTAAGTACACGTTAATTTCTTAAAGGGACAAAACCACTCATCATTTGCCAGGTAACGTTACTTGATTTGGGCATAGGTAACTTACTCAACATTATATGATACTTTTTTTTAAACAGACCTAAGCAACATGAAATGTGAGGAATATTTTTTGAATCCTCAGCAACCTTATCTTTTTTTCAGTATATGTATATGTTTGGAGAATATGATACACTTGCCTCTAAATTTACATGGTTACCCCACACATCCTTTAAGGGAAAAGAGTTGGTCTAGAGAGTTAAAACCACAAGGTAAACGCTTCTTCTTGGTAAGAGGAAAAGTATCCTCCAGGTGTCTATCCTGATACAAGTAATTATTTCCTCTATATAAGCCTCCATGTAAGTTGGCTTTCTATAAAAATGAGCGTGCAGGCTTCTATCCATAACACTTTGTTTTTGTCTAGTCGGGTAAAATTTGTCACAGGCATCCCTGTTTTCTATATCCTGTTGTACTTTACCAAGAATCTCTGTCTTTAAAGATTTTGTTACTCTTACACTAACAAATGAATCCCAACTCTCCACCTTCTGTGCCCCTACAGTGCACTGTTTCTCTTGGTAATTGGAACAGCCTATTTAGAAGCTCAAGGAATTTGGGAGCCATTTCGAAGGCGACTGTCCTTTGAGGCCTCGAACCCACCCTTTGATGTGGGAAGACCATTTGATCTCAGGAGAATCGTTGGTATTTCATCTGAAGGAAAGTATGTTCACGTGCTGGAAATGAATTCTCTAGTATACGTAAATGTGGCTGGTGTAGTTAAAAGAAAAAATAAGTTTTTCTTTTCATCTTTGCTCAAGGGGAAGAAATCTTAATTCTAATTACTTCATAATTCTCTTGTGTATAGCTCTCTTCTCTGCTAGAACTCACAGCCGATCCCATGTTTTTATTGTGTTGGTGAGGGTTAAAATATTCTTAGTCAGATCGCTGACTTGATTCCTAAATTTTCAGATAGAATAGACCCTCTAAAATTGTGGAAAGTATCCCTATTTCTTGCTGGGTGTTTTTTTTTTTTCTTAGAGTAGTTTATATTTCTCTTGTGGCTATCTTGATGAGACAAGAATTTTTTCATCTTAGATTTTGTAAGTTGCTACTTACTGATCTGCAGTTGGTCCTTTTTTCAGCTTGAACACACTCAGCTGTGACCCCGGGCACAGTAGGGGATTCTGTGGGGCAGGCGGCTCGTCGTCCCGACCCAGTGGAGGGAGTCACAAGCAGTGTGGCCCGCCGGTCCACCCACACAGCGGTCACAGCAATAGAAACTCAGCTGACGTGGAAAACGTCAGAGCAAAAAACAGCTCCAGTACCTCTAGCAGGACTTCTGCGCAATCTGCTAGCAAAGCGAGCCCCCTCGTCTTAGAGTCAAACGCAGTGGCCCAAGGTCATGCCGCGGGCAGAAAGTCCAGAGGAGCCAAGCAGAGCCAGCACAGCAGTCAGCACCATGCCCACAGCCCTCTGGAGCAGCACTCCGCGCCGCCGCCGCCGCCGGGGCCTCAGCACCAGGAACCACAGCTGGGAAGGCTGTCACCCGCCCCGCTCTCGCACCCTTCCCACCCAGAACGGGCCGGCAGCACAAGGCACAGCTCGGAGGACTCCGACATCACCAGTCTCATAGAAGCCATGGACAAAGACTTCGACCACCCTGACTCCCCACCCCTGGAAGTGTTTACAGAGCAGCCGCCCTCACCGTTGTCAAAAAGCAAAGGTAATCCTCCGTTCTCACTGTCAGAAAAGCGTGATGTATGCGGGGGAAGGCGGGTGCATAATTAAGGAGCTGCGGTGATCGGAGCTGTGGTAGAAGCAGCTGATTTAGTAAGTGTTCTTCTGGCTCAAATTCACCTCCAGTTTGGACTTCAGCTTTTCCGTATCTGATGCAAATAGAGAGGTATCCGTTTATCTAAAAAATATTTGAACTTCTTAGGTTATTTATCAAATTTAGAAATTTATTGGACATCTCTTTCCATTTTCAACTGTCTGTGATTATTGTGTTGTGATAGGTTGAGCTTTTTTTTTAATAAACTAATTTTTAATATAACGGTGAAATGGAGACCCATCCATTTTAACTCAAAAATAATATTTCCAGGGCACCTGGGTGGCTCAGTCATTAAGCATCTGCCTTGGGCTCAGATCACAATCCCAGGGTCCTGGGATAGAGCCCCACGTCGGGCTCCCTGCTCAGCAGGAAAGTCTGCCTCTCCCTCTCCACCTGCCTCTCCCTCTGCTCATGCTCTCTCTCACTCTTTCAAATAAATAAAATCTTTAAAAAATAATATTTCCACAGAACCTGTACTTTAGAGCAGGGGCTGGCAAACTACGGCCAGAGAGCCAAATCACCACATGTTTTCATAAATAAAGTTTTATTGGAACATAGCCATGCTCGTTCATTTCCATATTGTCTATGGCTGCTTTCATGCTATAACAACAAAGTTGAATAGCTGCAAGAGACCATAATGGCCACAAACCTGAAAATATTTACTATCTATGTCTTTACAGAAAAAGTTTGCTGATCCCTGCTTAGGAGTTCTGTATGCTGGATTAGCTACCTATTTCTCAGTAACAAATTATCCCAAAACTTCGTCACTTAAAATGCCCACACTTACTATCTCAGAGTTGCTGTGGGTCAGGCATCTGGGTGCAGCTTAGCTGGGTTCTCTGGCTCGCAAGACTGCAGTCAAGGTGTTGCCTGGGGCTGAAGTCATTTTAAGGTTCAACTGGAGGAGGATCTGCTTCCAAGCTCGCTCAGGTGGTTGATGGCAGGATTCAGTTTTTCATAGATTGTTGGACTGAGGATCTCAGTTCCTTGCTGGCTATGGCCACCAGCCTCATGGGTCCTCTCCATAGGGCACTTTAAAGCAGTTGGCTTCACCGGAGCAAGGAAGCTTAGAGGCAAGAGAGAGAACAAGCTAGCAGGACAGAAGTCACAGTCCCTTAACGACCTAATCTTGGAAGTGACATCACATCACTTTTGTAGTGTTCTGCTCATCAGAAATGTGGTCTGGCCCATACTCCAGGAGAGAGAATTCCACAGAGCATAAACACCAGGAGGGAGGGTGGGTGCACTGGGATTGATCTTAGACATGACATACCACACATACACAGAGGTAGGCTATTTGGTAACTTCCAAAATCAAAATATAAAAACCAGTAAACAGCCTGTAGCTCTATTTCAATTTAATCCCTTTACAGCCTAAACTTTTTGCATCTTCCTCTCTCTCCCGTAGCAGTCCTGCCAGTACACATTATTCCAAGCCTGTTTCAGGACCTCCCTCCCTGGTGTACCAGGGAGGTTTTTTGCCTTTCGTTTACACAGGGAACAGGGAAGTTGGCCGTCCTGAGAGACCAGAAGAAACCCAATGTTCCCAGAGTCCAGGAGTTTTCTATTAGAGAATTTCCTAGTTCCTGATATGAAAACTAGTTACATAGAGTCCTCTTAGAATTACATGCACTTGGATTTGAAAAATAGTAAAATGTCTTGAATATTATTTAACTTTTTCCAGAGAAATGTACTCATTATTAATAGAGCTTACTTATTTTAGGGTAATTTTCATAGTAATATTAAATGAATCCTTAAAGTTCTTTTTATTAGATCAAGTTGCATAATGAGTTTTTCCCATATTGAGGGCATGAATAAAAGAAATGTATATTATCATTTCTTACCAGAAAGAATTCGGCAGTCAAAACTGAATACCTCACTGCCTATGCCTAAGATAGTCCGCTAACATCAGTGTGATAGGTCCGTTTTTATTTTCAGGGTCATTTATCTGGAACATAAATATTAAAATTTTAAAAATGATTTTAATTATCACAGCAGTCCTAGCGTCGACCTACTGAAAGATATTTAATGACGGGGTATGGGTACCACCACATCATTAGTGACTCTTGAGCCCATGAGGACACAGGGATCCCAGGCATCGCATGGGTGGCCGTTCTACTTGGTATAAGGATAACTGCTGCTGTTTGGAAAGAGGGAAGGAAACAAAATCTTTAATTTTTTTTTTTTAGCAAGTATTTTTATTGAAGTGTAACATACATATGGAAAACTGCCTCTTAGGTGAACTTTAAAAGGTGGGCATTGATCTCCAGGTTGCAAAGTAGTGATGTGTCATAAAACCATAGGATTTTAGCTGGGCAGAACCTTTATAAGCTCTCTAAAGCTTACCCCAGGCTCCTGTAGGTAGTCATGTTCATGTTAAATATGAACCTTCTGTTTTCAGAAGCACCCTGTTCCCCCTGCCCCTACCCAGTATCTCAGACAAAAAGTCTACCTTATAATGAGGCTATGAAATTCCTGGCACTTGGAGACTGCTCAGAGTGACTTCTCTTCAAATAAATATGATCTCCCGAGATCTCGCCTAGATTGTAGGCCATCGAGCCATTTCCCTAGTCATTCCTCCTGTCACTGCTCCTCGTGGAAGGTGGCACCCAGAAATGCCCTCTGTTCACAGCTGGCCTGAGCAGGGCCTCGTACAGCTGGGCAGTTATTAGACTCTGTACTTGTTTGGTTCCCTCCCCTGCAATACAGACTCCTAGGGACTGGACAGAGACCATTGCCGGATTGAGGGTTAAAACCCAAGGAAGCTCTGAACCTGGTGCAGTCACTCGTCAGTATCTGCATTAACTGAAGACATGGTGGAATCTGCAGCCATGCTCATTTCTGGCTTTGGTAGCGTGAGGGGCAGCTTTATCTAGGGTAGGGAGATGCAGAGTGGCACACGGTCATGAGGCGAGGCTCAGCCCCTTCCTAACTGTGTGACTGTGTGAAATTTACTTCTCTGATCCCCCATTTGTTCTCTTTAAAGTGGAGAAGATAGCTACTACCTACACTGTGGGATGTAGCTCCTGCTAGGACCTGCGCCATCTTCAGCCTGCTGAGTTGAAGGGAGCTGTGGAACACCCTGGCACTAATGTCTGCCTAGAACATAGTCTTAAGGGTGAGAAATGGGACAAACGGGGCTGAAGACAGAATCGTGAGAGCAGGGCCAGCAGACAGTGTGATGGAAAGCAGGTAGAAGACGTGGTCACTGTATCCCAGCAAGGCCAGAAGAAGCAGAGGTAGAACAGAGCTGCACAGAGCCTGGCAGCTAGGACATTACTTGACCTTGGCCAGATAGTTGCTGTGAAGTGATAGGACTAGAAACCTGGTTACGGTGGTGTGAGTACTTTTCACATCAGACTGTTAATAGTGGCCACTTCTCAGGGTATGCGTTTGGGGGCAAATAAGTGAAAGGGGGCATTTACTATTTACTCTGTAGTTTCCATGCTCTTTAACTTTCAATAAAAAAAAAAAAAGAAGGTGGGAGATGAATATATTTTTTTATAGATTTTAGTTATTTATCTGAGAGAGAGAGAACGAGCAGTGGGGAGGGGCAGAGGGAGTGAGAGAGAAGCAGACTCACCGCTGAGCAAGAAGCCCAATGTGGGGCTCAATCCCAGGACCCAGAGATCATGATCTGGGCCGAAGGCAGACACTTAAATCAACTCAGTCACCCAGGTGCCCCGGGATGAATATATTGTGTGGTAGTATTTTTAATGAAAAAAATGGGGAGCATGGTGTTTGGAAATATCTATGAGTGAAGGACAAAAAGCCAGTAGAACTGAGCGCAATGATGTTGGTCAACACCAACGTTCCAGGCCTGACTGCACATGCCTCGTGCACCCTGGTGATTGGCATTGCTGTGACCCTGTGTCTCCAGTTAGAAGCCCAGTCCAGAAAGAAAGGTCGCAGCAGGCAGATATGGGAGGCCATGCCCAGGCCTGATTCTAAGCCCTCAGCTTGTAACTACGCTGTCCTGCTGCCTCTAAAAAGAAGCAAATGCCCAAGGAGGTGGGTGGGGTGGGACCCAATTCAGTAGAGTATAAAAGATAGGACACTCATTCCACAGGTATATGGATGCAGATGAATGGGTAGAGCCGAAGAGGGGTACAGGGAGTCCGAGGAGCTTCTGTTGGAGGCAAAGTCAAAGCTGCTGGGACTGAGGGGAGAAGTGGGAGGGTAGAAAGAGGAAACAGTTTTCAGTAGTCTGGTCCACTGAGCTCACATTTCTGTGGACTGGGAGTGCGTGGGACGTGAGAGCTGGATGTGCAGAGCAGCCCCTCAGGTAGCATGGGGACCCCGCTGAGGGTCGCAGTGGCACTCTGCACACTTTCGCACTCTTTCTCCATGCTCCACTGCAGCCCAAGGGTGAGGAGTGCAAGCTGGGGAGTCGCATTACAGCACTGTCGGACTTCTGCAGGGCGGGGGTGGCAAAAAGACCGAGGCTGAGAATGCCACATTTTGCTGGCAGGACAGAGATGCATATGCCAGACGGTGCAGAACTTGCAGGATAGAGAAGGACCTCAGGCCAGAAGGAGCCCCACAAACAGGGAGAACATGGACAGTCAAGGGATGGGAGATCCCACACATCCAGCTGCAGGGATGGTGGAAGCAAGGGAAGCACAGGAGACCGTGGCCTGCAAGCGCAACCTGAGACTGTAGGGCTTCAGAGGAAAGGCGGTTCTGGGCAGTGACAGGTTCTTAGGTGCAGCCTTGGAAATAGGGTGTGAAAGTAAAGCCCAGTAGCAACAGTGAGGCCACAGAGCTATAGGTCTGCAGTCCCTTACACAACCCTCTGGAAGCCTCACGTGTTTGGGAATTCAGATTCTGGAAAGGCATACAGTGCATGTACCATATGAGTCATAAGACTAACTTCAGCAGCTTAAGTTGTAC